CTTCACAGCAATCCCATAAAGTAACTACTACTGAATTTCATTGAATTTATCATGAATTGTAATATATCATCAATTGTAATATATACCATTATTTTATTTAATTTTTTAATATTTAAATTTATTTATTTATTTATTTATTTTTGAGACGGAATCTCGCTCTATTGCCCAGGCTGGAGTACGGTGGCATAATCTCAGCTCACTGCAACCTCTGCCTCTCAGGTTCAAGCGATTCCTCTGCCTCAGCCTCCTGAGTAGCTGGGATTACAGGCACCTGCTACCACGTCTGGCTAATTTTTGTATTTTTAGGAGAGATGGGGGTTTATCATGTTTTTCAGCTGGTCTTGAATTCCTGACCTCAAGTAATCCACCTGCCTTGGCCTCCCAAAGTGCTGGTTTTACAGTTGTGAGCCACCGTGCCCTGCTGATATACCATTATTTTATATACTAAGAAAAAAATACTATCCATTAAGCCATGGCATACCTTCAGTTTAAGATGCATTCTGACTTCAGAGATGTTCAAATGTAAACAGATTTAAAACGTTATATAGAGTCAATAAAATACATTTACTGCATTTAAAAGATGAGGCGGCCAGGTGCGGTGGCTCACACCTGTAATCCCAGCACTTTGGGAGGCTGAGGCAGGCGGATCACCTGAGGTCAGGAGTTCGAGACCATGCCAGCTAACATAGTAAAACCCCGTCTCTACTAAAAACATAAAAAATTAGCCCAGGGGGACTGTAGTCCCGGCTACTCTGGAGGCTGAGGCAGGAGAATCGCTTGAACCCGGGAGGCAGAGGTTGCAGTGAGTGGAGATCGCGCCACTGCACTCCAGACTGGGCGACAGAGTGAGACTCCAACTCAAAAAATAAATATATAGATAAAATATGAGAAAACAGGCACAGAGAGGTTAAATAACTTGCCCATGATCCAGTAAGAGACAAAGCCAGGATTTGATTGAAACCAGGTAGCCCAACTCCAAAGCCCAAATTCTTGATCATCATTTGATGCAGGGCTGGGGGTTGTGAGCAGTGTGGAAGTTTTCAGGGAGGCCAGCGTGGCCGCTGAGGGTAAAGTGCATTCCACGGGAGCAGGCAGTCTGGTGGCGCCTCTGGGAGACTGGGGTCCACTGTGAGAGGGTTCTGGGTGGGCTGGGGCTATGGAAGGATGGGACAGACAGGATAGAGATCCTTGAAAACTGGGCAGGACTGACCACGCATGGTGGCTCATGCCTGTAATCCCAGCACTTTGGGAGGCCAAGGCAGGCGGATCACTCGAGGTCAGGAGTTCCTGACCAGCCTGGCCAACACGGTAAAACCCCGTCTCCATTAAAAATACTAAAAAAATTACCCAGGTTCATGCCTGTAATCCCAGCACTTTGGGAGGCCGAGGCAGGAGGATCACCTGAGGTCAGGAGTTTGAGACCAGCCTGGCCAACATGGCGAAACCACATCTCTACTAAAATACAAAAGTTAGCCAGGCGTGGTGGTGCATGCCTGTAATCCCAGGAGGCTGAGGCAGGAGAATCGATTGAACCCAGGAGGCAGAGGTTGCAGTGAGCTGAGATCGAACCACTGCACTCCAGCCTGAGCAACGGAGTGAGACTCTGTCTCAAAATAATGATAATAATAATAATAATAATTTGTGAAAAAAAAATATTGGAAAAAAGGGAGAGGTACGGCCAGGTGCAGCGGCTCACGCCTTAATCCCAGCACTTTAGGAGGCCGAGGTGGGTGGATCACCTGAGGTCAGGAGTTTGCCACCAGCCTGGCCAACATGGTGAAACCCTGTCTCTACTAAAAATACAAAAATTAGCCGGGCGTGGTGGCAGGCACCTGTAATCCCAGCTACTTGTGAGGCTGAGGCAGGAGAATCGTTTGAACCTGGGAGGTGGAGGTGGCAGTGAGCCAAGATCGTGCTATTGCATTCCAGCCTGGGCAACAAGAGCGAAATTCCGTCTCAAAAAAAAAAAAAAGAGAGAGGGAGAGGTACTACTGTGGAAGGGGTACGAGTTCTTCTTCCTATCATTAGGGCCTTTCTGGGCACCCCGGAACAATGATTCTAACCCTGGCTGTGGGTTACACTAACCAAGGCCCCATATAGGACCATTTATTCCAGAATCTCTGGAGATGGGGCCAAAGCACAGCAAGTTTTAAGGCTGCCCAGGTGGCTCTGATACACAGCTAGCTGAGAACGCTTACCCTGGAGCCTCGAGGTATCCAGTTTGAAAACCCCTGGGCTGGGATCCCTGCCAGGCCTAGGCACTCAGACTGTGCCTTGTGGTTGGCAACAGACCTCTCTTCTCATGTTCCATGTCCCATGTCCCACTCCCAAACCAAAAACTCCTGATAGGAAAGGGACCAAACACCAGGGTTTCTCAACCATGCTCTGACATTTTGTGTCTTTCTTTTCTTTCTTTCCTTTCTTTCTTCTTCTTCTTCTTCTTTTTTTTTTTTTCCTGTCTCCCTTTCCTGGTAAACACTGACATTTTGGACGGGATAATTCTTTGCTGTGGGGACTTTCCTATGCATTGCGGGATGGTTAGCAGCATCTCTGGTCTCTACCCACCAGAGACCAGTAGTTCATCTCCCCATTTAAAACAAAACGACTCCAGATGTTGCAAAATGTCTACCGGGGTGCAAAATCACCCCCATCTGAGAACCACTGTGCTACTCTGAGAGCCTCCCATCCTTCCCCTGCTCTCCCCAGTTGCAGACAGAGGCTAGGCAAAGGCAGAGGCCACGAACAGCAAGTTTAGTTAGGCGGCAGGACGGAGGCCTCTGAGGGAGGTCAGGGTTTGAAACTGTTAACACGATGGAGGGAGGGCATGCCCGCGAACCCACCGACGTGATCTCACTCTAGCGGGGTGAGTTTTCCAGAACACGCATTCCCAGATTCCTAATCAGTCACAGGAGGGCCTGGAATAGCTTCTGGGGCAGATGCCCCCGCTTTCCCGGAACAGGCAGAAGGGGGTGTGGGTGTGGTGGGAGTGGCGTAGGGGATTCTTTCCTTCTGTAGATATTTTCCTGGCATTGTTGACAGCTGTGTGATTGGTTGAGGGCTGGAGGGGAGGAACTTTCCAGCTGTGGGTGCCTGGGTTCCTGGGAAGCCGTCTGACACTGGGATTGTGGGGGGTCTGGGTTTTTGGGGATTTTCTTGTTTTTCATTATCTCACCAACCAGAAGCAGGGATGTCTGGGTTTTAGGGTCCGGAGACTGTTTTTGGAGCTGGGACTAAGGGGCTGGCTGGTTCTCCTCCAAGGGATGTAGAAGTTGTGAGTGCATACTCCTTAGAGCTGGAGGCTGGGAGGCTTTCAGCGTCTTCACAAGCCACTTTTTGCTTGGAGGTGGTGGGACCTGAGGGAAGACGGAGAATGGGAAGCCTATGGGAGGGGCCTGGGAGGGACAGAGGGAGGGAGGGTGGGCGGTGGAAGGCACTGGGTAGGGTAGGATTCCTGTCCTTATCCCAAAACTCACTCCACCAGGAGACTCAGAACACCCAGAAGCAGGACAGCTCCAAAGACGGAGAGGAGCAGAATCTTGGCTTCCCAAAGATCTTGACTTCCTGCAGGGAACCCAGGAGGCAGTGAATGATTGTGGAACGCACACTCACCGACGGGGGAGCCCAAGGGCTCAGGGATCTGGGCAAGGTGGGGCGGGGCCAGGGTGGGCGTGAGGACCTGGGAAGCAGCGCTTTCGGGGCCAGCAGGACACCTCCATCCCCTTGCAGGTGGAGCAGTTGTACAGCGTGGTGCTGCCCCCTGCAGGAGACAGCAGAGGCAACGCTGGGGAGGGGAGGCCGGGCCTCCACCCTGCCTGGTACCCAGCTTCTTCCTGCAGCTGCCAGGCCCTCCTCTGACACCCTGCAGGCCCCTTACTACCCCTTTCCTTTCCTACTCACGGCAGGCAGGGGGACAGAGAGCTGAAATGAAAGACAAGGAAGGGGTGAGGGTGTGTGTGGATGAGCTGCTCACCACACATCCCTTTGGCTGAGACGCTAGGCTCCCCTTGAGGCCCATCCCGCGTCGGTACCTTCCCTGGTGTACTCGGGGAGCTTGATCTTTCGAAGCCAACTCCAATATGAAGGGAGTGAGGAGAGAGCCTCTTTGATCTCTGGGGAGGCAGAGAGCAGCTCCATTGCCCTGGGCCTCGATGGGGCCAGTGCCCCCTCCCTTCACCCAGCCCCCTCCCTGATCAGCCCTCCTGTCTCTGCCCTTCCACCCTTCCCCTCCCACCCCAGCCCCTGTCACCCACCCCTCTCCTTGGTGTCCTCCCAAGCCCCTAGGTCACTCTTTCCCCTTGACCTCACCCATGACCCTCAGGACTCTGTGAGTCTTCTCTGTGACTTTGTTCATGGACACCTCATCTGTGGAGATGGGCAAGGACCAGCAACTCCCTCACCAACTCAGGTTCTGGGGTCTCTTCTGACTTTCCCGGATATGGAGCTCTCTCAGAGAGAGAGGCCAGCATGTCCAGAAAGGGCCACAGATGGAGGGCACAGCTGGGAGGTCACATGCTACCCTCTGGGGGTATGGGGGTGAGTGCTTGCCGGACCCATCCCTGGATGTCTGATCCTACCTAAGGCAAAGGCCGAGAAGTCTGGGGAGGCCCCACATTCCTTCTGCCCGGCCTCCATCCGGCTGCAGAGCCGAGCCAGGCGGCCTGACAAGTCGTGGGCTGGGAGGCGGCAGAAGACACAAGCCTGGGCGGCTGCCAGGAAAACCCCGCCCAGTGCCAGCCTCCACATGAGGACCACTGGGGGATGGGGCGGGGCTGCCCCAGCTGGGCCGAGGAATGCTCTGCAGCCCTGGCTCCAGCCCTTGCCTGGAGGTTCTAGAGTGTTCCAGAACAATGGCACTGCCCATCCTCAGCTAGGGTAAAGCTGGGGCTCAAGGAACTGGGGTCCAGAAGACATCTCCAGCAGGCGATGGGCAGAGAAAACAGGGCTTCTGTTGTGAGGGGACAGCACCCCCAACCTGGCCCTCAACAGCCTTCACAAGTTTGTGGTTCCAAAAGCAGTTTTATTTTTCTCTCGTAAATCATGACCAGTGAGAAATAATGCGTGCCCCCCCCCAGTGAAGAAGCTGTGCATGAGTATCCCACCCGCTCTGGGACCCAGAAATCCCATCCTTTCCCATCTCCTCCCCCACTGTCCCAAACTCTTCATCTCCTCTCTCTGCCCTGGGCAGCCTTGGGCCTTCCCCAGCTATCTCCTAGCAACAGGCCCATGGTTGCCTCAGCAACCAAGAGTTCCATACAGGCCTCAGAGGCCCAGCTAAGCCCAGTGACTTCTCTTACCTCTCACCGGGAAGATCCCAGTGACTCAAACCCCAACAGGCCCCTCCTGGCTACGTGGTGATGCATATACATGCGTGCACATAAACACACACACACACCCTGTGATTAAACTACTAATTGTCAGCCACCTCACAGGTATACCACAGACACACCCTGTGCCAGAAGAGTCGACTAGGCAACCCCAAACAGGCCTGGACATGCAGACATCACAGACACTGTAGGCAGCAACACAGATAGGAACCAGGATGCCATGGACCTATATACATCAGTCAGACACACGGGCTGATATGCACGCACACATGAGGGAAGGCCAGGACCCAACAAATACTGCCCTCTTCCCCCTGGCCAGCCCTGCCATCAATAGAGGATTCTTCCAGATGAGGGATGCTCCAGCCCCATTGCCGTGGGGACTCTCCTAGCTCCCGTGCATCAACCTAGGGTGGGTTGTGGCCTTTCCACCTCCCTCAGTAGGTGGCTTGGAACACAGCAAAGAATTCCTCTTCCCATGTTCCAGAGTGCTCTGGCCTCTCATTGGTCAGGCCAGGCCAGGCCACCCAGCTTCAGGAGGAAAAGCCATGGTCCGAGAGACCGCACTGGGGAAATGCAAAGTCCTCCCTTTTCCCCAGACCTCAATATCCTTCCAGGGTTTTGCCAGGTCTGGTCTGGGTAAAGAGATGTTCCCCCCTTTTCCAGGCCCTTAAACACTGAGATCCAGATCTAGGAGAGACTGGAAGTCCCCAGCCTTAGGTGAGAACAAGCCGAGAGAACCTTCCCTACCCTCCCGGGGTCAGCACAGGTCGAGACCTTCTGGATCCTTTGTGAGTCCTTGCTGGGCCAGGTTTGGGAATTCCTGCCCACATCTGAGCTCCAGTCAGGTGCAGGAGGACCCCGACTCTCATAGCTCCTGAAGCAGAGCTGGAAAGAGGCTTCAGAGGTGCCAGTACCCCATTCTCTCTCCTCCCCACAATCAAACTGAGAAGAGTCCTCAGTGCCGGACAAAGCGCAGAGACCGGGAGTTGAGCAGGTCTTCGGGGTCGGGGAAGACAGAGTCTAGGCGGAAGCCGTGCTCGAGAGCCACCCGCAGCACCTCCTCCAGGAAGCTCGGCGTGCCCACCACCTCCCGCCGCGCTCCTGGCCCCCCAGTCCACAGCGGCTGCAGCCCCAGTCTCCCATACTCCACCTCGGGGAGTTCCACGGGGCGGGGGGCCCACTCCAGATGAAAATGTGGACTCCCCTCTGCCCTGTCCCCACTGGCCACACCAAATCGGGCCCGCAAAGCACCTAGACACTCCGGGTCGGTGCAGAAGAGGTTGGCTCGGAAGGTGTCCACCTGGGCGGAGCTCAGCTCATAGTGATGGGGTCCCCGGCGAGCAGAGAAGTGCACCAGGCGGGGGCTGGCATCGACATCTGCGTGGAGCAGGGCAGCTGTGGGTGCGGGGGTCCCCCGAGAGGCCTCCAGTTCCCGCAGCGCGTCCAGGAGGGGCCGGATCTGGTAGAAGTCAGCCTCTGCCCTGAGCAGCGCTGTCTCTCCGTACCCGCGGGGGAGGTCCAGGCGGCCCAGCCTCAGGAAATTGAGGATGTGCCGGAAGGCCTTGCCATCCCGGTCGATGAAGTAGTGGCCGCCTCCTTGCGGATTGAGGTTAGGAGGCATGGGGGTGCCGGCCCTAAACATGGCCCCCAGCATGGAGTCTGGGAAGCGGGTCAGGGTCTCCAAAGTGGTGGAATATAGCGTGCCCCCCACATTCAGGGTCACGGGGCCCCCAAAGGAGGGGGGCGAAGAGGGCACAGGAGGAGGAGAAATTTTGGGAAGCACAGGAGACACCGAAAGAAAAGAAAAGGCACAACTTCCTGGGTGTGTGCAGAATTGGGTCGAAGCTGTCAGATTCGCTGGGTTGGAGGCACAGGTGGAGCACACGCAGTAAGGTTTGGGGCTCACCCCAGCTACTTTGGTGGTGGATGGGGAGCTCGTCTCAGGACACAGAAATCCCCAAAGGGTTGAGAGAAGAGATTGAAAGAGCAGAGGGCAGCCAGAAAGGGGAAAGGAGCTTGAGGTTTGGACGTATCCGATTTGAGGTGGTCAGCGACACCCCTCTGTGATCTTCAGACAGTGGGTTTCCGGAATCCAACCAGCAGATGACGGTGGCGAGCACAGGGCCGACTCCGAAGAGCTGGTTTCCGAGACCCCGGGCAGATCGCTGCCGCCGTGGACGAGGTCCCCAGGGCTCTGGGGCCACTCAGAGGCCTGGCCTGGCTGCCGGCGCGGGTCCCAGGAGATGGATAGGGAACTGACGGGAGCTGATGGCGGAGCCCCCTTATATCCGCCGGGGAGCGACGATGCGTGTGCTCAGCCCGGGCTGGGAGTGTCCGAGGGCTCTGATGGAAACAGCCAGGAGTCTCGGGACCCGGCCGCGCCGCCTTCCCTGGGTGTCGCCGCAGCCGCTGAGGCCCTCTCCGCCCCCAGGAAGTGGCCTAAGGGCAGCGGCCCGGGGCCCTTTAAGAGACAGCCCCGCCCCTTGGCGCCCCGCCCCCGCCCCCTCGAGGCTCGCGCTGCTCTGGCGGAGGCGGGAGGCTGGAGGCGAGTCTCGGACGCGAGAGACTGGGCGGACTGGCTGGACTGGCAGACGCTGGCGGGACGGGGTGACTCAGGCACGTCGCCCCGGATGTGGCCGCGACCTCCCCGCCGCCCCTACAGGTGTGCTCGACCTCACGTCTGCAACTCGGCGGGGCTGGAGCCTCTAACCCCACCGCTCAGAGCCCGAGGCCCGGCCGGCCCGGCCCGGCCCGGGAGCAGCGTCCCTCCCAGCGGCTCCCCCGGGGAATTCCCGAGGGGGCGGGTGCTGAGCCGCCGCATTCCGGGGATGCCTTCCAGCCGGGGTGGCCCGGGCGCGCTCTCTCCGCGGCGGCGGCGGGGCCAGAGAGCCCCAGGGCCGGCCCCACCTCTCGGCAGGACTGGGCTGGCCACGTCGCCCAAGCCCAAGAGCCCCCGCCCCGCAACGCCCGGCGCTCGGGTCGCGGCCGAAGCTGCCGCCTCGCTCCCTGGAGTCGCCCCTTGCTGGACTCGAGGTCGCAAACCCCCAGCCGCTCCCCGCACCCCGGGAGCCTCAGCGCCCAACACCCTACGGGTCCAAAGGTGGCGCCCAAGGAGTGAACCAGAAGGGAAGAGCGAAGCACGGAAGCTTTAATGGCAGAGGGCCCGGTGACGGGGAGGGGAGGGAGGCGCAGACCCTTAGGGCCTGGGGTCACAGCGTGTGGAGGTCGTGACTGCGCCGGCTCAGCTTCTCCGGGTCGTCTGACGCCATGAGGGAGAAGTCGCGGAAGATGTCAAGATACGTCTCATCTCCTAGGGGAGGGAGGAAAGGCCGGGAGGCGGCTGGGCCCCAGTGCAGAAGGGCAGGGTCCCGCGTTTGGGTCCCGCCTGGGGACCTCGCGCTCCGGGCCTGGATGGGAACGTGCGCGCCGCGAGCACCGCGCCAGCGCCCATGCCTTGCCAGGGCCTGGCACGTCTCTTGCGCCCAATACGCGTTTGTTAAATAACGGAATGAATGCAGTTGGGCACTAGGGAGAGAGGTCACCGTGGACCAGAAGCCCAGAGTTCAGGTGTTGGGCCTGGGGGATGGGGTGGGTGTATTCTTTACCTGCCTGCCCCTGGGCCGCTTCAGCTTCCCTCATCTTTGCCAGTCGTAGCCTGAAGGGAAGGGAATTAAGACATGAACGACACTATCCTTGGCCGGGCGGGGTGGCTCACGCCTGTAATCCCAACACTTTGGGAGGCCGAGGCAGGTGGATCACGAAGTCAGGAGATCGAGACCGTCCTGGCCAACATGGTGAAACCCTGTCTCTACTAAAAATACAAAAAATTAGCCGGGTGTGGTGGCGGGCGCCTGTAGTCCCAGCTACTCGGGAGGCTGAGGCAGGAGAATCGCTTGAACCCGGGAGGCGGAGGTTGCAGTGAGCCGAGATCGCAACACTGCACTCTAAAGTGGGCGACAGAGTGAGGCTCCGTCTCAAAAAAAAAAGTTGTCTCAAAAAAAAAACAACAACACTATCCTCACCTCCCCCGCCAACTTCCCATTCTTTGAGCTGGGTTGCGTTTGTTCATCTGCCCACCCGGGGTCACGTCTAGTGCTAAAAAGATGCCTGACGGCAATGTTGATGGGCGAATGACGCCTCTCAGGGTGGGCCAAGCGTCCTCGCACCCTGCCCGCCCTCCCGCCTGCCTTCTACTCCACGCCCCAATGCACACTTGGCGCAGCCTTTCTTGAGCCTGGCCCAGGCGCTGGCCCAGCCCTTCCCCAGGCCCCACCGGGCAGGCTCCTGTTTCTGCATCAGCCCGCCCGCCCGAAAGTGGGCGGGGGGTGGTGGGGCTCCAGCGCCAGGCAGCCCCTCCCCTTCAGGCATTCTCACAGGGTGACGATGTCAGCGTTGGCTGTTTCCATGGCGATGGTCAGAGGGTCCCTGCCTTCAGAGTCTCGAGCCCCCAGATCAGCCCCCCGTTTCAGGAACAGGCAGGCGAGCCTGGAGAGAAGAGCCAGGGTCAGCCGGCCACCCAACTCCTCCCAGCCTTCCTCCCCATGGCTGTCATCCCTACCCTGTGTGGCCAAGAATGGTTGCATGGTGCAGCGGGCCCCGGCCCGTACTGTCTGCTTGGTTCACATTCGCCCCGTTCTGGAGGAGAAACTCACAGGCCAGAAGAGAATTCTGCATGGAGAAATCGAGAGGGGGGGTTGAGGGTGGCATCCCTAGTGGTGGATTTCAAGATGTCTTAGGATGGCGCCAGTTCAGAGAATGGGAGGGTGGGGTGTGTTAATCAGGAGTGTAGAAGGGGTTATAGCTAACTCAGGCTTGACTCTAGCTCTTTGCATGTATTCACATATAAATCTGTAGTACAAGCTTATGAGGCATGTTACTATTTTACAGATGAGACTGAGATTGTTAAAAGTCTCCTGTAAGGGGTGAGAGCCTGGGTTCAAACTCAGGTTCTCTGCCTCCAAATCACACACTCTTAGCAGCCAGTCTCTGTTGCTGGTGTCTCTCTATGGGTGGAGGCCCTAGGGAACAGGTGGTGGGAAGAGGAGGTAAGGGCAGGGCCTAGAGTCAGGAGTACGTGTCAGAGCCCTAGGGTGGGGTGGGGAGGTCGGCAGGGCTCTCACAGCAGCTGTGGCCTGGATCAGCGGCGTGGCATTCTCTTGGCCCCCATTGACCCAGTTGACATCAGCTCCGTGGGCAAGGGCATCGGCCATGGTGGGAAGAGATGGAGGATGCCCAGACGCTCGAAACAGCAAGGCCCCGGGGTGCAGGCTTCCCAGGTCCTCAGAGGGGGGCTCTGTTCGGGGGATTTGGTTCTTTTAGGGGGAAGCAGCTCTGAGTCTGGGAAGAAAACCCTCAGCACAGTGCCCGGATGCTATAACGGGACATGTCTCTTCTAAATGGTGGGGAGCTTGGGACTGTGGAGGGAATAGAGTGTGCAGGCGTGGGTATGTGTAAGTGTGAGTATGCATGTGTACGAGTCCCTAGGGTGCTGGGGAGAGACGGCATCACCACCTCATCCAGTCCAACCACCCCAACTGCTGGGATGACACAGGTGAGCTGACTGCCTGACACTCGGCCTCAGCTCTCAACCCCTGCCGCTCCAGCCTAACCCACCCCCCCTTTTCTCATGCTGCTGGCACCTCTTACCCTACCTGCCCACACCCAGCCCCACATTCCTTCCCATTCTTCATGTCACACTCCACTGTAATCCCTGAAGACGGCAGTCCGGTCCCTCCGACATTCTCCAGGGGAGGGCCTGGGCTTCACACACTGTGCCTCCCTGAGGGACCCAGCACGGTGCCAAGTACACAGCAGGTGCTCAATGAATGCCCAACCAACCCTATACCTGGCTTGGTTCTCAAGCTCCCTGGCCGGGGCCTGATGGAAGGCTTTGGGGGCACAGGAGGCTGGCCCCTTGGGGGCCCCCGGCCACCTCTTCGCCCTCGAATCTCAGGCAGCTTGGTCAGGAACTTCTTCTCCACATATTTAGCATGAATCCAGGCCTCCTTCTCCTGCCTGTGGGAGGGGAGAAGCACGCAGTCTTCCCTCCTCTTGCTCCAGGTATCCCCCATTCCCCTGGGAGGCTAAACCCCAAGATTACCGGGAGCAGCTGGGCCCTGGTTTCTTCACTGCCATGGCCTCCACGCGGGCCTCATAGATCTGGTTGATGACGACATTTCCCAGCTCACACATGAGCTTCCGGAGGCCCAGGCAGAGGCAGAGACAGGTAAGGTGGGGGTGAGTGATTCTTCAGGGGTCACGCCCCTGCACCCCCATGTCCTTGCCCTGCCCCAAGTTCTTGCCCCCAATCTTCACAATACCCCAAGTTACCTTCACTAGTTCTGGCTCCCATGAGTCAAGGGTCAGAGACCGGACTTTGGAGAAGTGAACACCAAGGCTCCTGGAGGGCCAGAGGGGAGGGTTAGGCCCTGTGCGGGGCAGTGGCCTGGGCAGCTGCTGCTGCTCCTGAAGACACTGGAAGGCAAGGCTGGCATAGGGGCCCATGCGGAGGTGCTGGCCCAGGAAGCAGGGCAGCTGCGGCCATGTAGCCTTGACCTGGCCCTGGCAGGACCCTGCCTCGTCACTGATTCCTTCTTCCTTAGGTTTCATTTCAAGGCTTCAGCCACCTCCCTTCTCTAGTGACACTTTGGCCTGGACAACCTCTCCCATGTCACCTCTCTTCCACCACACTGAGGCGGGGGCAAGGGCCTTAGACACTTGCTAAGGCCTCATGACTGTTTCTCTGCCTAGTCTTCATTGGCTCCCCCACCCTCAGCAGCCTTGACCCCACACTTCTTCCAACCAAGCCAACAAATTCTGGGTATCCCCCAATTTTGGCCAGACTAGGACACAGAGGGGCCAGGCCCACCTGGGTCCAACTGGCACCCCACAGGCTTGGGCCCAGGCCTGGTACCCAGTGACAAAGCCAGAAGCTAAGAGAGGAAGCCAGGACAGGGAAGGAAGAGGGGCCGGTGTGATGAGCTCTCTATTGGAGCCGCACTGCGGCCCGAAGGAGTGGGGCTCCCGCCTGGGCCTCATGGAGTAACCTGTGGATGCCGGAACACTGAATGCAGAGGGTGACACCAAGGTTGATGCTGGCCCACTCCGGGGCTGGCTCCCGGCAGTCGCAGCACTGGGCATTGCCATCCACACTCTGGACCTGTGCCACCACGTGCCCAGCTCCCCCAGGCTCCCTTCCCCTGGCCATTCCACCGCAGCCCAGGGTGGCAGCAGAGCCTATGGCCAGGTGTCCCGAGCCCTGGAGAAGAGAAGAGAAGAAAGGGTGGCCTAGGGTAAGGGGTGCCCCATCTCCATGGGCAGCCTGGCTCCACACCCCCAGGTTAATTTACCTGGCCTGGACCCCGGGGGCTGTCATCAAGGCGAGCCTGACTGAAGGCAGAAGCGATGCTGCTCTGCACAGCACTGACCCACAGCTGCAGGAGGCGCTCTGAGTCAGCCTGGAGGAGGCAGGACCTAGGTAGGAGGGTGAGGGAGATGGCAGAGGGGTCTGAGGCCTGGGAAGCAAAGTGGCAGGATGAGCAGGATTCAGCCAGTGTTCAACCAGTTCCAGTTGCATTGAAAGACTTCTGTACCAGTTGGTAATAGTCTCCTGAATATCCCCCATCACCCTGTACCCTCCTCCACAATGGCCCCCCAGTACAGCCACCAAAGGATTAAATTAAGGTCCGGAGCTGCATGGGGGGGGCCTCCATTGTCGTGGGCCCTGCCTTTCAGATTGGCAACTGTTTAGATATATCAGAGTATCACCCCTGGCGATTGCACTCACTTGCTGGTGGACACCACTTCAAAGCAGAACCGCCTTTCTGAGTCAGGACAGAGTTTCACTGTGCAAAGACGAAGGTCATCCACCACCACAGTCACAGGGTCCTGGCAGGATAAGGTGATAAGGGGGCAGATGTCCAGCTGCAGGCAAGAGCTGAGTCTCCCTGGGGCCCAGGCATCCAGGACCCAGGCCCACTCACCTTGTACTTCTTCTGGTAAACCAGTTGGTTGCTCTGAATGGTGAACCAGCGTCTGTAAGAGAAGGAAATCATTATAGATATGGGCAGCTTTAGGATGAGGGACGGAAGAGAGGCTGTGCTCTTTGCCCATGAGGATCTTACTGAGAGGAGAGACACCTGGGCTGACTGTTCCACGAGACATTCCAGAGAAGGGTGGACAGTTGTGCAGCCTAGAACATCTAAAGGATGCTATTTAGTCATATCTTGGACAATCTAGATTTCATATAGTTATGAAGACAACTTTCCAGCAGATGGCAGTAAAATTATTTTTCTAATAAAATGTCTATTGCTACAATTTAAAAAATACTATTTAGGCTGGGCTCACACCTGTAGTCCTAGCACTTTGGGAGGCCGATGAGGGCGGTGGATCACCCAAGGTCAGGAGTTTGAGACCACCCTGACCAATATGGTGGAACTCCGTCTCTACTAAAAATACAAAAATTAGCCGGGCATGGTGGCAGGCGCCTGTAATCCCACCTACTTGGGAGGCTGAGGCAGGAGAATTGCTTGAACCCAGGAAGCGGAGGTTGCAGTGAGCCGAGATCGCACCACTGCACTCCAGGCTGGGCAACAGAGCGAGGCTCTGTCAAAAAGAAAAGAGAAAAGAAAGAATCTTGGGGGCGGTGCAGTGGCTCACGCCTGTAATCCCAGCAATTTGGGAGGCCAAGGCGGGCGCATTGCTTGATGTCAGGAGTTTGTGACCAGCCTGGGCAACATGCTGAAACCCTGTCTCTATCAAAAATACAAAAATTAGCCAGGCATGGTGGCGCACACCTGTGGTCCCAGCTATTTAGGATGCTGAGGAGGGAGGATCACTTGAACTCAGGGGGCGGAGGTTGCAGTGAGCCAAGACTGCACCACTGCACTCCAGCCTGGGCAACAGAGTGACACCCCATCTCAAAAAACAGAAAAAAAAAAAAAAAGTATCTTGGGGAAGCGGCTCCATTCTCTAATTTGCACAGAGATCCCATATGGGCTAGCAGTGGCCCTCGAAGGGGAAGGAGTCAAGTCACAGCATGCTGCCATCCTGTTCCAAACCCTATAGCGGCTCCCAATTGCCCTCAGAGTAGACCCCAAATCCCTACAAAAATCTACATGGCCCTATAATGACTCGTGCCCCCATTAGCTCCAGTTTCATCTCCTACACATCCTCCTCCCTCACTCTGTCCAGACCCAGGGCCACCACCCTGCTCTTCCAACTCCCCAGCTGTCTCAGGGCCTTGGCACTGGCTCTTCCTTCTGTCTAGAACTTTCTTCCCCCAGATATCCTTCAAGTCTTTGTTCAAAAGTTACCTTCTCATGAAGCCCACACTGCCCAGCTATTTAGAACTGCAACCCCTACCCAGCTCCCCACATTCCTTGCTTTATTATCTTTCTCCTATAGCACTATCACTTTCTAACATAGCCCGTGATTTACTGACTAGGTTTATCGTCTGCCTTTGCTGATGGAATGTAAACTCTACTAAGGCAGGGGGGTTCGTCCGTTTTTTCCTTGCAGTGCTTAGCGTGCTATTACCACTCAAAAATACATAATTGGGTGGGGTAGGCTGATTGGGGTGTCCTCTCCTCACCTGCTCCAGGTCTTAAATGCGTTGCTGGCCCGTTTGAAGAGATGTCCTTCCATCACCAGGCCACCGGGCCCCTCTCTTAAGCTTGGTTCTGGCTCCTCCCCACCCAGCTCCTGGAGGCACAAGAGGATCGAAGGGCAACTGAGATGGGCAGAGACCAAGGCCATAGGCATCTGCCTCCTGCCCACAGCCCTAGCCCTCACTTTTTGCTTGTTGAAATATTTTTTAAAATTTATTTTTAGAGACAGGGTCTTGTTCTTTCACCCAGGCTTAAGTGCAGTCGTGTGATCATAGCTACTGCAGTCTTGAACTCTTGGGCTCAAGTGATCCTCCCGCCTCAGCCTCCTGAGTAGCTAGGACTACAGGTGCATGCCACCACACCAGCTAATTTTAAATTTTTCTGTAGAGATGGAGTTTCACTATGATGCCTAGGCTAATCTTGAACTCCAGGCCTCAAGCGATCCTCCCACCTCAGCCTCCCAACATGTTGAGATGACGGTCGTGGGCCACCGCACCTGGCCCCTCACCTTCTGTTTTAGCAGCACGTGTCTCTGCTCCATGTCCCTCTTCTCTCGTGCGGAATTCAAGACCAGCTGGTGCAACTGGGCACAGGAAGGGCATCTCAGATGCCCAAGGCCCCCCAGTTAGGAGTCCCTAAGCTCCCTCCACCACCTGCTGTGCCCTGGGGGCCCCACCTGGGCGCCCAGCTCCTTTCGATACTGGGACAGCCGGCTCAGCTCCTCGTGGCCCTGCTGGAAATGGGTAGCCTGGGCTTCCACCAAACGCAGCACCTGGGGGACAAGGTGGGCAGTGGGTGGGCTGGGGAAGAACCCCTCTCCCCTTTCCCTTGTGCTGGCAGCAGGCTCCTCTCCACCCTGCCCTCACCCCCGCCACAACTCACAAACTCCATGATGTCAAACTTCCTCTTGTCCTCAATCACATTGATCTGAGGACGTAAAAAGACCCCAGGTTAGTCTTGAAAACACAGCACCCCTTCCCACTGCACAGTGGGGACCCCCCAGCCTCAAGGTGACACCTGAGGCTCTGGTACCCCAGGAAGACAGGTTGGGGCAGGCACCTGCAGGGCATAATCCAGTGCCCGTCCCCGGTAGCCAGCTCGCGCCGTCCTCAAAGCAGCTCCTGCCTCTTCTGCCTCCTGGGCCCGGCGCCTGGGAACCTCCGCGTTGTGGGTCAGGGCAGCCTCCAGGCTCTCAGCCCCCCGCCAGAAATCCCGGCGAGCCTCTCGGAAACCCCGAAGACCTCTGAGGATGGGAAGATGACACAGAATCGCAGCTAACACCCACCTGCCCCAGCAGAGCATTCCCAGGGTAAAGCCCTCATGTCCTTTCAGTTAGTCTCTGCATGTGGGAAACCCAAGGAGATCCCTGGGATGGAAGTCAGGACACCAGAAACCCCCAATCTCACAACTCCACCACTGGGGTGGAGCCACCGCGCCCAGCCTAATTTTTGTATTTATTGTGGAGACAGAGTGTCACCATGTTGGCTAGGTTGGTGTCAAACTCCTGGGCTCAAGCAATCCTCCCAAAGTGTTGGGATTACAGGCGTGAGCCACTGCGCCCGGCCCCATCTCACTCTTTGACCAGGGTCTGGATCTGCTGCTGCAGTGTGTGTTGGGTGGCATCTAGAAGCTCCTGAGGGAAGGAGAAGTTGGTAGGTTGGGGTCAGGACCACAGGCGACCTGGCCACCACCCCCACAATCCCTACCTTCCCCTACTTACCGCATGGCTGTCCAGCTTGTGGTTCAGGCTCACGGTGAATTTTTCCAGACACTCCTAGGCAAGCAGAGGCATAGAAAGAGTACCAGGCATGGGGTGGCAGCGCCCTCCCGACTCGAGACCCAGCCTGCTATGGCTATCTAGGATGACAGCCCAGCCCCGCTCTGGCCTGGAACCTGCAGACCCCAGGCCAGCCCTCCTCTTCCACGGCATCACCTCCTCACCCCAGACCCCTTCCCACCCAGATGCAGACCCTCCGTATACCGCCATCATGGGTTCTGGTGGACCCAGGTGGGCCAGGTCACAAATGCCGACAATGAAGGCACGGCTGGCAGCAAGGTAATGGCGTCCACTTTCCAGGAGACCAGTGCCCAGTTTCAGGAGCTGGGAAAGAAGGAGAGTAAGAGGGAGCTGTGCAGTCATCCCCACACCAGGTGACGCCCCCACACCTGCCCCAATTCCTCTCCCTTTGCCCAGAGTGGCGCTCCCCCATTCCTGTCTGGCCTCACCGTCCTCCAGGCTCATCCAGCTCTCCCTGTATCTAACACACACCTGCTGTGTTCTCATCGCTGCCTCTGCTCCCACTGCCTTGGGCCTGAAACCAAATTCCTGCCCATTCCTCTCAGCCTGTCGCCAACACATCTGTCAGCCTTACCTCCAAAACATCTTTCCCTGTCCCCTCGCACACATCTCTTCCTGCCCTGCCTACCTGCTTAGATCCAGAGCTCCCTGGAGATTCCAGCCTCCTGCATGGTCTGGATGCTCTAAGTGGTTGCTATTAAATTCTACAGTATTGGCTGGGCATGGTGGCTCACACTTGTAATCCCAGCCCTTTGTGGGGCCACGGCAGGCCAGTCGCTTGAGCTCAGGAATTCAAGACCAGCCTGGGCAACATGGTGAAACCCCATCTCTACTAAAAATACAAAAATTAGCCAGCCCTGGTGGCACGTGCCTGTAATCCCACGTGCCTGTAATCCCAGCTACTTGGGAGGCTAAGGCAGGAGGACTGCTTGAACCCAGGAAGCTGAGGCTGTAGTGAGCCGAGATGGCACCACGTGCCTGTAATCCCAGTTACCTGGGGAGCTAAGGCAGGAGGACTGCCTGAATCTGGGAGGTCAAGGCTGCAGTGAGCCGAGATGGCACCACTGCACTCCAGCCTGGGTGACAGAGCAAGACTCTGTCTCTAAATAAATAAATAAATAAATAAATAAATAAATAAATAAAATCTATAGTATTTACTGCTAGGAGTTGTCCCATTCTGTGCTCACTGCACGTTCCCTCATAAATATTAATCCGTCATCCAGACCACAGGTCAGGACCAAGAGGAAATGCTGGGGTACTCCTGGGGCCCATCCTGTCTGGTCCCTTTGACTGACAAACAAAGAAACTTGATAGTCCAGGTGAGATGGCTCAGACCTGTAATCCCAACACTTTGGAAGGTTGAGGTGGGTGGATTACCTGAGGTCAGGAGTTGGACATCAGCCTGACCAACATAGTGAACCCCATCTCTTTTTATTTTTCTATTTTTGAGACGGAGTTTCACTCTTGTTGCCCAAGCTGGAGTGCAGTGGCACGATCTCAGCTCACCACAACCTCCGCCTCCTGGGTTCAAGCAATTCTCCTGCCTCGGCCTCCCGAGTAGCTGGGATTACAGGCGCCTGCCACCACACCCGGCTAATTTTTTGTATTTTTAGTAGAGATGTGGTTTCACCATGTTGACCAGGCTGGTCTCCAACTCCTGACTTCAGGTGATCCACCTGCCTTGGCCTCCCAAAGTGCTGGGATTACAGGTGTGAGTCACCGTACCTGGACTGACCAAGATCAGATCTTACCATATATCACCATGGGTTGTCTGTGACAAGGGACAAGGATGTTCGCAAATCACTGTGTGAATCTGAGGACTCTGTCTAGTTTTTTCCTTACCGTCTCAGCCCCTCCCCCTTAGATGAGTAAGAAACTTTCATAAGACTGGACTAGTGACACACTGGGACATCTGTACAATAGAACAGTACTCAGCAATAAAAAGGAATGAACTGTTGATACGTGCAACAACTTGGATAAACTTCAAGAGCATTAATCTTTTAAAAAATTTGTATTATTTTTAGAGTTGGGATCTCTGTCGCCCAGGCTGGAGTACAGTGGTGGGATCACAGCTCACTGCAGCCTTGAACTCCTGGGTTCAAGGGATCCTCCAACCTTAGCTTCCTGAGTAGCTGAGACTACAGACACACACCACCACACCTGGCTAATTTAAAAACAAAACAAAGCATTTTTTAGAGACAAGGATCTTGCTATGTTGCCCAGGCTGGTCTCAAGCTTCTGGCCTCAAACAACCCTCCTACCTTGACCTCCTGAGTAGTTGGGATGACAGGCATGAGCCACCACACCCGGCAGGAGCATTATTCTGAGTGGGGGAAAAAAGCCAAATCTCAAAGGGTCACATACTGTATGATTCTATTTATGGAACATTCTGGAAATTACAAAAGTAGAGAGATGGAGAACAAATCAGTGGTTGCTACAGATTAAAGCAGTGTGGGAAGGGTATCGGGTATCACTGTAAAGGAATTCTTTGTGTCCATTTGTATGTGGTGATGGTTAAAGGAATCCATACACGTGATAAAGTGCCATAGAATTATACACAAAAACGCAAAAAAAGAGCATATGCAAAATGTAAAATCGAAGTAGGATCTATAGAGTTTATTTATTTATTTAGAGATAGAGTCTCGCTCTATCGCCCAGGCTGGAGTGCAGTGGCGCGATCTCGGCTCACGGCAACCTCCACCTCCTGGGTTCAAGCAATTCTCCTGCCTCAGCCTCCTAAATTGCTGGGATTACAAGTGCGTGCCACCACACCCGGCTAATTTTTGTATTTTTTTTTTTTTTTTTTTTTTTTTGAGACGGAGTCTCACTCTGTCGCCCAGGCTGGAGTGCAGTGGCCGGATCTCAGCTCACTGCAAGCTCCGCCTCCTGGGTTCACGCCATTCTCCTGCCTCAGCCTCCCGAGTAGCTGGGACTACAGGCGCCCGCCACCTCGCCCGGCTAGTTTTTTGTACTTTTTAGTAGAGACGGGGTTTCACCGTGTTAGCCAGGATGGTCTCGATCTCCCGACCTCGTGATCCGCCCGTCTCGGCCTCCCAAAGTGCTGGGATTACAGGCTTGAGCCACCGCGCCCGGCCGCTAATTTTTGTATTTTTAGTAGAGATGGGATTTCACCATGTTGGTCAGGCTGGTCTGGAACTACTCCTGACCTCGTGATCCTCCTGCCTCAGCCTCCCAAAGTGCTGGGATTACAGGCGTGAGCCACTGCGCTTGGCTAGAGTTTACTGGGCTTTTTTGTTTGTTTTTGTTTTTTGAGACGTAGTCTCACTCTGTAGCCCAGGTTGGAGTGTACGATCTCAGCTCACTGCAAGCTCCGCCTCCCAGGTACATGCCATTCTCCCACTTCAGCCTCCCGAGTAGCTGGGACTACAGGCGCCTACTACCACACCTGGATTATTTTTTGTATTTATAGTAGAGACGGGATTTCACGGCGTTAGCCAGGATAGTCTCGATCTCCTGACCTCGTGATCCGCCTGCCTCAGCCTCCCAAAGTGCTGGGATTACAGGCATGAGCCACCGCGCCTGGCAGAGTTTATTGTTAATTGTAATGTGACAATATTAATTTCCTGGTTTTAATAATGTACTAAAGATGTCACCACTGGGGAAACTGGGTGATGAGTACATGAGACCTCTCCTTACTAGTCTCCTGAGTCGATGATTTACTCACAATAAAAAATTCAGGCCAGGTGTGGTGGCTCACACGTGTAATTCTAGCACTTTGGGAGGCTGAGGTGGGAGGATTACTTGAGTCCAGGAGTTCCAGACCAGCCTAGGTAACATAGGGAGACACCATCTCTACAAAAAAATAAAATTAAAAAAAAGCCAGGCATGGTGGCATGTGCTTGTAGCACAGCTACTGGGGAGGTTGAGGAGGGAGGATCACTTGAGCCCAGGAGTTCAAGCATCTGGGACTACAGCTGTGGCCACCCCATCCAGTCCGTTGTTTAATATCATTATTTGTAGACCGGGTGTGGTGGCTCACGCCTGTAATCCCAGCACTTTGGGAGGCTGAGACAGGTAGATCATTTGAGGTCAGGAGTTCAAGACCAGCTTAGCCAACATGGTGAGACCCCATCTCTACTAAAAATTAAAAAAAAAAAAAAAAAAAAAATTAGCAGGGTGTGGTGGTGCATGCCTGTAATCCCGGCTGCTTGGGAGGCTGAGGTGGGAGAATCGCTTGAACCTGGAAGGCGGAGGTTCCAGTGAGCTGAGATCGCCCCACTGCACTCCAGCCTGGCCAACAGAGCAAGACTCCGTCTCAAATAAATAAAAATAAAAGTATTATTTGTAGAGATGAGGTTTCACCATGTTGTCCATAAAACAATGTTGCCCACCAAATTTGTGACAATTTGGTACACAGCAATAGCCAACTAACACATAGCATGCAAATACATAATGTGTCAGAGGTAAATGTTGCAGAGAAAAGTAAAGCGAAGTAAGGGGAATGAGAGAGCATTTGTGCGTGTATCTGTGTGAACATGCTATTTGATAGAGTGCTCAGGGGACACCTTACTGTCTTGAATGGAAACATTTCACTGGTTTGTCTTCCAGTCAGCCTTTGGGCTCATGGGAGCAGAAATGATCTTGCCCTCCCTGAATGCCCAGGGCCTGGCACAATGCAGGAGGAGCTCAAAAGCTGAACAAGGAAGTCCAAAAGTAAGTCTTTTTTTGTTAAGACAGAGTCTCGCTCTGTCGCCTAGCCTGAAGTGCAGTGGTGCGATCTTGGCTCACTGCAACCTCCGCCTCCCAGGTTCAAGCGATTCCTCTGCCTCAGCCTCCTGAGTAGCTGGAACTACAGATGGGCGCCACCACGCCTGGCTGATTTTTGCATTTTTAGTAGAGATGGGGCTTCACCATGTTGGCCAGGCTGGTCTCGAACTCCTGACCTCAGGCGATCCATTCGCCTTGGCCTCCCAAAGTGCTGGGATTACAGGCATGAGCTACCACGCCCGGCCCAGAAGTAAGTCTTGTTTTCCAAGATCCTAAGCTTCTTGAGGGTACAGAACCACCTTTTTTTGCTTCTCTGGAGTCTCCAAAATATTTCCCCTACACAGTATTCAATAATCCCTGGAACGCATTCTCTGTCTCCAGCTTTCTTCCTGGCCCTACCCCTCTCAACCTAATCCACTCCAGGGTCACCTCTCCATGTCAGGGTCACCTTTTCCAGACGGATCTCCAATTCTGACACGTCGGCTTCCACCATTTCAATAGAGGCTCTGGGAAAGAGGGGGTCATGGGAACAGAGCTTGGGTCGGTCTGGTCTGTCTGCCTCATCAGGCGGGATGGAGCCGCAGGGCGGTGGGTATGGAGGAGAAAGCTGCAGAGTTGAGAGGCTCGCCCCCCACCCGCCCACTTGTGCTCTGCCCGCTCTGCAGACTGGGAGCTACCACAGCCCAGGCCAGAGCAGGAAGGGTAGAAGGAGGGTGGATGTGGCCAGGGCAGGAAGTTGCTAACCGCCCCAGAGCAGGTGCTGGGGGAAGGGCAGGGGTCCCACTGAGAGGCCAGAGGGAATGCCAGCTCTAGGGCTGAGGGAAACTGCAGAAGCCAGAAGGAGCATGCAGGGCCGGAGAGCATTGGAGTACCCTGCTTTGATAGCTGGGGTACCACTTTGGCCCACAGGCTCGCTCCTGCCTCTTGGAGGCCTGCTCCCTGGAAGGAGATCTGGCCTGGGGAAAGGTGTGTGTGTGCTGGGGGTGTTAGACTTTTCCCTCCTTAGCCCCCAGACCAGTTCACACTTACCGGAAACGGGGTGAGTCCTTGAGACACTCCTCGAAATCCAGCTTGACCGTCATCTCAGCTTGCCTGCTGTGGGGCCAGCGGGCCCTGGAGGCCGGACGCCTGGGGATGCAGGTGGAGGCACTTTCTGTCCCAGGAGGTGGAGATGATGGGGAAGGAGAAGAGGGACCTCCACGGGGAAGGGCCTGGGGGGCACAATTCTTTCCCCAAGGGGAAAGGGGTGTCCTAGGAGGAGCTCTCGCCCCACACTTCCAGGCAGTGCTGGGAGGGGCAGGGGTGGGGCCTGGGCGGAGGATGGGGGCCTGAGATCAGAGAAGCCACAGCCCCGCCCTCAGAGGCGATCTGCCAGCTCCTTCCTCTTGGGGCCCTAGCCTCTGTTTCTTTCTCTCTTCTTGGTTGAGTCTTGGGGGCCTGGCAGATCTAGGTTCAAATCCTGGCTCTGTCACTTAGAGGTTGTGTGCCCCTGGACGAGCTCTCCGATTCCTCAGTTTTCTCATCTGGAAGATGGGAATGATAGCCCCTTCCTCCAGGGCTGTATGAAGTGAGGAAAGTGATAGCAGTAAATTCATGCTGGCCGGGCGCAGTGGCTCAAGCCTGTAATCCCAGCACTTTGGGAGGCCGAGACGGGCGGATCACGAGGTCAGGAGATCGAGACCATCCTGGCTAACACGGTGAAACCCCGTCTCTAGTAAAAAATACAAAAAACTAGCCGGGCGAGGTGGCGGGCGCCTGTAGTCCCAGCTACCCGGGAGGCTGAGCCAGGAGAATGGCGGGAACCCGGGAGGCGGAGCTTGTAGTGAGCCGAGATCTGGCCACTGCACTCCAGCCTGGGCGACAGAGCCAGACTCCGTCTCAAAAAAAAAAAAAAAATTCATGCTTCACTAGATTGATTGATTGATTAATTAATTATTGAGACGGAGTCTCCCTCCGTCACCCAGGCTGGAGTGCAGTGGCGCGATCTCGGCTCACTGCAACCTCCACCTCCTGGGTTCAAGCAATTCTCCTGTCTCAGCCTCCCGAGGAGCTGGGACTACAGGTGCCTGCCACGGCGCCCCACTTATTTTTCATATTTTTAGTAGAGACGGGGTTTCACCTCGTTGGTCAGACTGGTCTTGAACTCCTGACCTCAGGTGATCCACCCACCTCGGCCTCCCAAAGTGCTGGGTTTACTGGCGCGAGCCACTGTAATCCGCTGGTTCACTAAATTAATTGCATCACTCATTGTCATCCTGCAGCAGCTTGGGCCTTCTCGTGATGCTAGGCTCCTGTGGAGTCCAGTGCCCCGGACTGCTCCCAGCTTTCTTCGCTCTGCCCTCATATTCATAGCTCCTGTGTGTGAACTCCCCTTCCTCCTCCCCTCTCCTCAACGACTGAGCAGGCCCAGCCTGAGCACCCGATTCACAGCTCCCAGACCCTTGCTCTTCTGCTCTTGATCGTCCACTCATAGGGTGGCCAGGAAGGGAAGGTTGCCCCCACTCTGCCCCCAACCAGCCCGTTTCCATTGTTTGCTTTCCTTTTCTTGAGTCCATCGAAGTCCCAGGGTTTCATCTGGAGAGAAGTGTTTGAGTACATGGCTTTCTTGCAGCAGGCATGGGATCTTGTTCATGTGACCCTGAATCCCTTAGAACCTCCCCACTCAGCTCCTCTACCTCCCTGGCCAGTGCGAGCATCCCCTTGCCTCTGCCCAGGCTTAGTCTGTCAGGCTGTGCTTGTTCTGGCTTGAGGGGTTGGGGTTGCTCCACTCTCCCTTTCTGAACTCCCTGGGCTTTGCCAGCTCAGCCCCCTAGCCACCAGCTGGATACCATTTGAGACTCACTGTCTTGGAAGGACAGAGAAATACTTGGAGTGGGGTGGCGTGGCAGAGAGGAGTTAAGGAGGAGGCGTGGAGCCAGTGGGTGGTGCCAAGCTGGAGGGGGTCTCAACCCCTTCTGAGTCTCCCTGGTTCCTCTCCTGTCCAATGTGGACCTTGGACTCGAGGCTGTTCAGGGCCTCTCCTTCCACCTGTTGCCGATGTACTGGCCTGAAATAATTGGAGGGCTGGGAGATGGGAGCTGGCCAAGAGACAGTCCCACAGAGATAACGGCCTGGTGCCCTCAACAGGCTGCAATGGTGTCACTGTCACCATCAGGGAGCTCTCTGTGGCCTTGTGATCCCTAAAGGGGCCTCCCATGTGGTCCAGTAGGTGGACCTCAGTGCTTACAGCCTTCTCAATCACCTAGGTCAAGCTTGTGGAGCCTAGAATCAGGGATCAGGGAAGGGGTACCTATCAGGCTGTGGGTTCCCAGCCCTCCTGCCCCCTAGGCTGGCCTGCCCAGGCTCTCACCATCCTGATGCTCATCTTCCATGTCCTCCACAAGCTCTGGGTGGGAGCAGGACCTCAGGTATAGTCCTTTGCCATAGTACTCCTTGTGCTGCAGAGCAATCTCCTGCCCCGATATGATGGTGGCCACAGCTGGTGGGGGAAGGCACTGATTTCTGTAGGTGGAGGAATCTGAGGAATCAACCAAATGAATCCAAGTCTTCCGGCCATCTGGTATATCCGTGCCTCACAGGTGTCTGTCATGGGCCCTCACCAGAGGGGGAGAAGCTCAGGCCCCAGATCCTCGTCTCACTGACTTCTCTTACCCTTCCCATTTGAGAAAAACTTCAGTGACCGCTCCACCTCCCCCCATGGTTGTCTCGGACTTTTGTTTATTTTTTATTTATTTTTTGAGACAAGATCTTGCTATGTTACTCAGGCTGGAGGGTGGTAGTGCCACCATCGCTCATGGCAGCCTCAAACTCCTGGGCTCAGACTATATTCTCCCACCTTAGCCTCCCCGGTAGTCTGGACTACAGGTGCACGCCACCACGCCTGGCTAGTTAAAAACAATTTTTTTTTTTTTTTTTTTTGTAGAGATGAGGTCTCCCTATGTTGCCCAGGCTGGTTTTTGAATTGCTGGCCTCAAGCAATCCTCCCAAAGTGCTGGGATTATGGAAGCGAACCACCTGGCCTGGCCAACAAACCAGCCCCCAGTCAGACTTTCTGTTCCTCAACAGCCAATAATCTCGGGGGGCTATCCTGAATGGGGTCCTTTCTCCAGCTGCCGTCTTTCTTCCCTGGGGTCACTTCCCAGCATTACCTCCCTGTCAGGCAGCAGAGTCTTGGGCTGATGGCCACTGAGGAAGACAGACTGTGGTAGAGAAGTGAGGAACGGGCTCTGGAATACACCCCCCTCTAGTCCCTGGAGCCCTCCCGTCGCTAACCCTGGGCTTCAAGGATGTGCTTCTGGGTGACCAGGCCTGGCTCATCTTTGGCTCCTCTGGCTGGTTCTCCTGCCCAGCCTCTCTGCACAGGCCTGGGCTCTGGGACCAGCATCACACCTTGACTGCCACCGCTGATACTGATACCACCATTGCTGTCCTCTTCATCCTCCAAGGGCCAGTTTTTCTCAGCCTTGAGAAACTTCCCTTTGTCACAGTGTGCCTTGCGGCACTTGTCAAAGTCATTGGAGTCTGTGACCGTGGTGAGAGCCTGGCTTTCCCACCGCACTCTTGCCAAAGACTTGCTCCACCTCCCCCTTTCCATTCAATCCCCAACCCTTCATCTCATGTTGTGGGAGAAGGATTACCTAGGTGCCGAGGCAAGAGGCTGAAGGCACAAACTGTTTCAGTATAATAAAGAAAATAGTTAGAATAAGAATAGTCATAACACAAATTAGATATAGAAATGATCATGGACAATTATCAGTCATTATTATAAACATTATTAATCATTAGCTTTTAATATTACTCTCTGTTGCATTACTAATATAACCTAGGAATAACCGGCGGGTGTAGGGTCAGGAGCTAAAGGAACATTGTGAGAAATGACCTAGAAGGCAAGAGGTGAGCCTTCTGTCACGCCCACATAAGGGCCGCTTGAGGGCTCCTTGGTCAAGCGCTAATGCCAGTGCCTGGGAAGACACCCATTACTTAGCAGACTGCGAAAGGGAGTGTCCTTTCCTTGGAGGAGTCAGGGAACACTCTGCTCCACCAGCTTCTTGTGGAAGGCTGGATATTATCCAGGCCTGCCCGCAGTCATCCGGAGGCCTAAACCCCTCCCTGTGGTGCTGTGCTTCAATGGTCACCGCTCCTTGTCCGCTTTCATGTTCCTCCCGTACTCCTGGTTCCTCTTTGAAGTTTGTAGTAGATAGAGGTAGAAGAAATAGTGGAAGTCTTAAAGTCTTTGATCTTATAAGTGCATAGAAGAAAACGCTGACGTATGTTGCCTTCTCTGTCTCTACTTCGGCTACCTAAAAGGAAGGGACCCCGTCCTGTGATCACGTGACTTGCTGCACCTTGTCAATCACTTAGAAGATTCACCCTCCTTACCCTGCCTGTAATAAATATCAGCGCGCCCAGCCATTCGGGGCCACTGTTGGTCTCTGCGTCTTGATGGTAGTGGTCCCCCAGGCCCAGCTGCTTTCTCTTTATCTCTTTGTCTTGTGTCTTAATTTATTACAATCTCTCGTCTTCGCACACAGGGAGAACACTTGCTAAGCTCCGTAGGGCTGGACCCTACATCATGTGTCTTGGAAAAGTTGTCTACAGGCCCCGAGCTCCTGTCAGCACAGTCCTGGCGGAACCTGGGGCAGATACTGTCCGTCATGGCAATCCTGAAGGGGTAGGAGACTAGTGGGGGCATCGAGAGAAGAAAATAGCAATGGGGACAGGTGGTAAACGAGGCCAAATTGGCGGACCCCCGCCCCCATCCAGGCCTGATGGAAATTGTAGCAACTCCCATTGTGGGTGTCAAAAAGCAGACCAGCTGCAGACCTGAATTCAGGGCTGAAGGGAGGAAAGAGGCCCCACACCCCGGCTGCTCTCTGGCAGGACTCTCACCTCTCTGCCAGCACTCCAGGATTCACTGAGCAGGAGGAACCAGCAGAGAGGTCCTCAAAACTGTCCTGCAGCCTGCAGAGGAGGGGGAAGCAGCGCTGGGAGGTGGGGGGTCAGGCAGTATCCAGTCCCTAAAGATCTCTCTGCCTCCTCCACCTGTCCCCTCCTTTAAACAGAGAAGAATCTCTGGACTGAAGGGTTGGGGCTGAGGGCTTAGCCCCTGTGGTAAGGACTGTTGGGCTCATCCACTGTCATAAATCCATAGTCCTTGTCAGCAGGGAGGTAGGTGGCCAGGATATTCATCTAATCCCAATGCTGAGGCTTCCTTCTGGGGCTGGACCTTCTAGTGACCCCCCTCCTTATAGGCCTCCCTCATTTTCCCAGTCATTCAAAACAGTTGTTTGTTTTTTGTTTTTGTTTTTGAGACGGAGTCTCACTCTGTTGACCAGGCTGGAGTGCAGTGGCACAATCACTGCTCACTACAACCTCGGCCTTGTGGGTTCAAGTGATTCTCCTGTCTCAGCCTCCTGAGTAGCTGGGATTACAGGCACACACCACCACGCCTGGCTAATTTTTGTATTTTTAGTAGAAATGGGGTTTCACTATTTGGTCAGGCTGGTCTCGAACTCCTGAGCTTGTGATCTGCCTGCCTCGGCCTCCCAAAGTGCTGGGATTACAAGCGTGAGCTACCGTGCATGGCCTTCAAAAGAGTTTTTGTTGTTGTTTGCTTTTTGAGATGGAGTCTTGCTCTGTCTCCCAGGCTGGAGTGCAATGGTGTGATCTCAGCTCATTGCAACCTCCGCCTCCCTGGTTCAACCCATTCTCCTGCTTTAGCCTTCCAGGTAGCTGGGATTACAGGCGCCTGCCACCATGCCCGGCTAATTTTTGTATTTTTAGTAGGGATGGGGTTTCACCACGTTGGCCAGGCTGGTCTCAAACTCCTGACCTCAGATGATCTGCCCGCCTTGGTCTCCCAAAGTGCTAGGATTACAGGCGTGAGTCACCACACCGGGCCTCAAAACAGTTTTCTTATACACTCTTGTTGAGGCTGGGGATGGGGTCAGACTTAATGATAATCACAGTCCTGTGCAGCCAGGGTTTATGGGGCACCTGCTCTTCTCCCAAAGGCCTGGAACCTCGGACTTCCGACTCAATTGCCCTCACCTACTCTAACTCTTCGTTCTTAAGGCTCTGCCCCTTTCCTTCTGGCTCTGATCCTCCAGTGTCCTGAACCCTCCCGACTCTGGGCTGCCTGCCCACAGAGCTGGGCTCCTTACTTCTCCACATTGGGGGATTTTTGCACCAAGTTGGAGCTGTTCTTTCGTAGGATGCTCCGGGGCCGGTCCTGTTGGGAGTTTTGGGGGTTCAAGCAAGTTGATCCAGAGGGCGGACTGCACCCGGGGCTGTTTACCTCTTGCCCTATAGGCCCCCCAGGCCCAGGGCTGGAAGCCCTGGATACACTGGTTCGAGGCTCGGGGATGTTGAATCCACCAGGACCCAAGGCTGTGGCTCGCAACCTCCCCTAGGTGCTGACTGGGCCTGGAACCAAGGACCAGTATCCCCCCGGAGGGCCAGCTTGAACCAGTACCGCGAGATACGGAGACCCTGGAGTGCACGCGGGGCCCAGAACCGTGAAACAGGACTACTCCGGAGGGCTGCCCAGCGCCTGCCTCGGCTCCTGTGACCGCTGCGGGAACTCCTGTGGCTACCCCTCCAGGGGCAATCCCGGTTGAGACCGCCACCCGCCCCTAGGGACTCCAGTTTCTCCATAGCCCCACCTGGGGGCCGCTCTCAGCGATCCTGCCCCGCCTACCGGCTCCACGTAGCCCCGCCCCTGGCCCCGCCCCCACCGCTGCCAGCGGGGGATGCTGGGGCTCAGTCCCGGGTCCACCTCTCCCCTGCTCCCGAGCTGCGGCGAGCGGAATCAAGGCTATATAGAGACTCGGGCCGGGGGTCCCTCCGCTCGCCCCTTTCTTTTGTGTCCCACCCAAAGACTTTCTTTGTCTGGGCAATTTGTTCCCGCCCTTCTCCATCACCACCCTCATCCAAACCAGCCAATCCCAGTCAGGGGACCAGGCCAGGGGGCAAGAAGCCTCGATTGTGACGTCACGGTCCTCAAGCCTGAGCGTGAGCGTCGGGGAGGTGGGCTGGGGGCTTGTGACTAGCTCTAGGGGAGATCTTTTGGGGTCGTCAGCGCTGTCGCTTGAAACTGCCTGTCGGGGCTTCTCTAGACTCTTTGTGGCCTTAACATGGAATAGTTTGGTTGAGTTGGAGTTAAGGCTTGGCTTGACTTAATCATCAACGAGCTTCCCCCATCCCCGCCAGTCGGCTCGCTCAGCCAATCAGGAGAGGTGTGAGGCAAAGTGGAAGGATTGCGGCGCTGTCACAAGACACTTCGGTGTCAGTGGGGTGGCGGGCAGAGACTTTCACTTAGACTTTCACTACCGCTTCTCTGGGTCCTCCAGACTCGGCTCACGCTGCTTTGGAGCGTGCATCCCGAGGGGAGATAACCCCCCCTCTTGCCGTAAAATGGGTGCTTCAAGGTGCCACCTCCCCCTAGCGAGGGCAGGGTGGTCGGTGCCGCTGTCGCAAAGCAGAAAGTGTTTGGGCTCCTGTACCCCACCGTCGTAAAGATGCCTGCGGTGGGCGTGTCTTCCTCCCACTGTCGCAAAAGCTCCCTGCCCAAGTCTTCGTACCCCTCGGAGCCAGTCCATCACCTCGCTATGCCGTAAAGCGAGGCTCCCGACCCCGTCGTCCTTCTCACCGTGGTCGTCCCCAGCTCCTAGCACGGGCTGCTTCATTGCCCGGCAGTGCCGTAAAGCATACCTGGCCTCAGCCCGTGGTCGTATCCCTCAGAGTGTCTGCCCGCCGCGGTTGCCACGGTGCCGCCAAGCGCGGCTGTCGCGCTGCCCCGGTGTCAGCGGAGATGGCGGCGGGGTCGGGTGGGAGTGGGGGCTCTGGGGGAGGCCCCGGACCGGGGCCGGGCGGGGGTGGGGGACCCAGCGGGAGCGGCTCAGGACCGGGGTCCAACGGGGGTCTGGGCAGCGGCGGGGAGCTGCACCCGCGCACTGGGCGCTTGGTGAGCCTGTCGGCCTGTGGGCGTACAGCGCGGCGGCAGCAGCCGGGCCAGGAGTTTAACCACGGGCTGGTGTTGAGCCGAGAACCCTTGCGCGATGGACGCATCTTCACCGTCCGCATCGACCGCAAGGTGCAGCGCTGGTACCGCGGAACCGAGATGTGGAGGGTGGTGGGAGGGGACTAGAGGGAGACGGGGTAGGACAGCCAGGGTAGCCCACATCGCCGGGCACCGAGAGGGAACAGAAAGAACACAGAGCACCAGGGGGCGGACAGGAAGACAGCGTGAAGCAGAAACATTCAGTTTGAAGAAGACATTAAGAGCTTGAGTGTTTTCAAGATCCAGAACCAGGGAAGGGACACGAGGGCTAACCCACTAGAATGGCTGGGAACAGACCTCCTGGTACAATTTCTTGGGCATGGAGGATGGAGAGATGTCAGAGATGTGATGACAAGTGAAGAAAGATACCAAGGAACGAACAAACCTAATCCCAGCTCTTTGGGAGTCCGAGGCGGGCGGATCACTAGAGTCAGGGGTTCGAGACCAGCCTGGCGAACGTGGTGAAACCCCGTCTTTACTAAAAATACTAAAAATTAGCCAGGCATGGTGGCGCGCGCCTGTAATCCCAGCTACTCAGGAGTCTGAGGCAGGAGAATGGCTTGAACCCGAGGGGCAGAGGTTGCAGTGAGCCGAGATCATGCCACTGCACTCCAGCCTGGGCAACAGAGTGAGTGAGACTGTCTAAAAAAAAAAAAGAACAAACCACTGAATGACACACTCACAGGCTGTGCCAGAAAGATAGGTGAGGAGAAGTAATCCAGGGCGAGAGAGGTGTGTGTGATTCAGTGAAGAGGTCAGGCTCACAGAAAAAGAACTTGGGAGGAGGTTAAATCTGGGTAGAGCCTGATCCTTGGAGAGAATTAGGCCAGGGGAAGGGAATGAATGATACACAAGAGCAAGAGGTGTGGGTATAGGAAGTAGGTGAATTTGGATGGTTGGAGAGCCATAGAGACTAGGGAAGTTAGAGGAGGCAGGAGACTGGAACCAAGGAATTCGTGCTTGGCTTGGAAAGGAGTGGTGTAGTAAACACTGAGTAGAGAGCAGAGTTGCTAAAGGAAAGCCCAAATAATTTCCGAGACAGAGTCCAGAAAATCACTGTCTGCATCTGTGGATTAGTGTGTGGATTAGTGTTCCAAGAGACAAAAAGCCAGCTAGCTGTCTTGAGAGGTGGGAAGATATGGTGGCCTGTGGAATGGAGGGTGGCCCATTCTAAGTCTCTGTCCAATACCCCTATCCCAGGTCAACTCCTGGAGTGGCTCCATTGAGATTGGGGTGACAGCGCTGGACCCCAGTGTGCTGGACTTTCCAAGCAGTGCCACGGGGCTGAAGGGGGGCTCGTGGGTAGTGTCGGGCTGCTCTGTGCTGAGAGATGGACGCTCTGTGTTGGAGGAGTATGGTCAGGACCTGGACCAGCTTGGCGAAGGGGACCGCGTGGGTGTGGAGCGCACAGTTGCTGGGGAGCTTCGGCTCTGGGTGAATGGGCGGGATTGCGGTGTGGCCGCCACAGGCCTGCCCCCTCGTGTCTGGGCCGTTGTGGACCTTTATGGCAAGTGCACCCAGATCACCGTGCTACCCCCTGAGCCAGGTTTCAGCCCCCCTACTCCCATCCCCACACCTCCCCTTGAGCCCTTGGCCCCCACTGAAGACTCTGCCTTGGCTGAACAGGGTACCTCTGCTGATGAAGGTAAGAACATGGCTAGGGCAGTGGTGGTGGGGTGGGGACAGAATGGGGGAAATACAGTGACAAGACAGGCTGGGTGTGGGCAGGGCCACCCTGATCCCCAAGTCTGTTGAATGGGAAAGCAGGAGCTAGAGGATGGGGGGGTCTCCTGGCTATGGGCCCTGAAGCAGGGACTGAACCCTTATTCCCCTCCCATCCCACCTGGTCCCCAGCCTTCATGGTGTCCCCAGCGCAGGCCCGGCCGGAGACGTTTCCTAACAGCCTTGAGTCGCATAATGGTGAGGGCTTTGGGGAGGCCCTGGGAAGGGGAGTGGGAAGTGAGGTGGACAAGGGAGGGCCCTCAGGAGAAGGGGCAGGGAGAGAGGCACCTGGTCTGGGGGTATAGAGCCTCATCCCAGCTTCCCAGCTTTCTTCTTCCATCCTGCTGCTGTAGACTTTGCCAGCATGGAGCTGTCTGAGGTGGTGAGCAACACCATCCTGTCTACCTACAATGGAGGGCTTCTGAATGTGAACCTGAGCTCCCCGCCAGCAGGGGAAGGCCTGGGGTCTAGCGGTGCTGCCACCTCGCCCATTCTCACTTCCAACGACGCCCTGCTCTTTCATGAAAAGTGCGGAACCCTCATCAAACTCAGCAACAATAATAAGACGGCTGAGCGCCGGCGGCCCCTGGACGAATTCAACAATGGGGTTGTCATGACCAACCGCCCACTTCGGGACAATGAGATGTTTGAGGTGTGCAAAGTCCTGTGGTCTGGTTGGCGCCTTACCCCTGGGAGCTAAAGATGGGGCTCGACCATTGGCGCTAGGAGGGTGGGCCCTAGGGAAGAACCAAGGGCTGAAGGTCTCTTTCTGCATTTACATTCCCTGCTTCTCCCTTCTGTCCCTCAATGCCAGATCCGTATCGATAAGCTTGTTGATAAGTGGTCAGGCTCCATTGAGATTGGGGTCACCACCCACAACCCCAACAGTTTGGAGTACCCAGCCACCATGACCAACCTCCAGTCAGGTACCAGCCCTGGGCAGGGGCGGGGGTGCAGGCCTGGTGTTGCTGAGGGGAAGGAAGCCCCGTACTTGAACCCGCGTGTCCACCATCACCCAGGCACCATCATGATGAGCGGCTGTGGGATCCTGACCAATGGCAAGGGCACCCGCCGGGAGTACTGCGAATTCAGTCTGGATGAGCTGCAGGTGAGGGTGGCACACAGATCCTTGGACCACTTTCCAGCAGAGCCACAGGTACTCTGTGACCCTGCCAGGGCACCAAGCAGGGTCTCCTGTGTGACCTAGAGCCAGTCCCTGTATCTTCTACCTAAAGGTTCCTTCCGAGAAGGCAGAGTTGCCCAAGAGTTCAGCACTCAGATTTTGGAGTCAGATGGTTGAATTCCTCTTACTGTTTTCCCATTTGTAGTGGCGAACCGAGGCAAGAAGCTTATCCTCTTTCATTGCTCCCCCAGCCCCTGCAATCTCTAAAATGAGCCTACAAGTAGTACTCATTCCATAGGCTGAGACTTGTAGAAGCTGATGTCTGTGAGGTGGTTTAACTCAGTGCCTGACTCACGTGGAGCATTGAGGAAATGTAGAAACTGTCATGTCTGGAAAACAAGGACCCAGGACCCGTCCTCCAGGATGGTCTGAGACTGGCGAATGCCTTCTGGAGTTGTTCCTGTGTGGAGTGGGGTGCTCGGCAGGCCTCGGGACTCCTCTGAACTATTCGTCTTCTTTGAGTAGGAGGGTGACCACATTGGCCTCACAAGGAAGTCCAACTCTGCCCTGCACTTCTTCATTAATGGTATCGATCAGGGTAAGGGTCGCTCAGAGAGGGCCTCTGGGCTGGGGCTTTCGGTGAGGCTGGGACTGGGGGCTGTACTTCATCCTCCTGCTTCTCTTTGGTGCTTGGTCTCCGTGTTTGACTTTCTCCCCTCATTCTCCCTGCCCACTCCCACACCCCCGAACCTTCCTGCAACAGGAGTGGCAACCCCCTTGACGCCCCCAGTGGTGTATGGCGTGGTGGACTTGTACGGGATGGCTGTGAAGGTGACCATCGTCCACAATAACAACCACAGTGACCGTCTCCGCCGCAACAACGCCATCCTGCGGGCGCTGTCCCCCGAGGGCGCTCTCCGCCGTGCTGCCCCTGCCGCTCAGGCAGAACCTGAGCGCCTGCTCTTCCACCCCAACTGTGGGCAGAAGGCAGCCATCACCCACGAGGGACGCACTGCCCTGAGGCCCCAGTATGGCCCATGGGGTGGGGAGAAGCCTGAAGAAGGGGTTCTAATGGGAGGGGGCCAGGGCACGGAAGTAGAAGGCAGAGGGAGCCTGGCGGGGGCAGCCTGGCGGGGTGGAGGTTGAGGTTGAGTTCTTTGGCTTGGGGCCGTGAATGTTGGCAGGCATTGCTGGGCTAAGCCTTGGCACGTTGAGAGCGTGTGTTGGGGATCTGACTCTCCACTTTCTGTTCCCTCAGTGCCACCGATGACTTCAATCATGGCGTGGTGCTGAGCAGCAGAGCCCTGCGGGATGGAGAGGTGTTCCAGGTGCGCATCGACAAGATGGTGGACAAATGGGCTGGCTCCATTGAAATTGGTGTCACCACCCACAACCCTGCCTACCTCCAGTTGCCCTCCACCATGACCAACTTGCGCTCTGGTGAGCTCCCAGGAAGGGCAGGGCCAGGACAGGGTTTTGGGGGGAAGCTGTCCCCAAAGCCCTGGCACTTGTTCTCCAGCTTCTTTTTCACTTGTCACTCTTGTGACCACTCATTCAGTGGCTAGAGAGTGCCCCGTGGGCAGGGCTGTGGCTGTCTTGGAAGCTGCAGAGTTTTGTTGTCCTGCTCAGGGAAGAAAGCTAGTCGTCAAAGAAAAGGCAAGATGGGCTGTGGGCTCAGGAGTTCTGTGGGGGCTGCTATGGAAAGGAGAGGAGCCCTTCCTTTCCCTTCATGTCCTCTACTGCTCCTTGTCCTCCCAGGGACCTGGATGATGACTGGGAATGGGGTGATGCACAATGGGACGACCATCCTGGATGAATACGGGCACAACCTGGACCGCCTCAAGGTGGGAAAGTGGGTGTGCTGCCTGGCGGCCGCAGCGGGCATCACAAACACCACAGGGCTGATGCAGGACCAGCCCCGGCAGGAACTCTGCCTGACTCCTCACTCCAGCACCCCCTTCTTCCAAGGCAGGGGACACGGTGGGCGTGGTACGGCGGGAGGACGGGACTCTCCACTTCTTTGTCAATGGGATGACTCAGGGCCCTGCTGCCTGGAACGTGCCCCCGGGCGTCTATGCTGTCGTCGATCTCTATGGCCAGGCGGCCCAGGCCACCATTGTGGACGACGTGGGTGAGGGCCGGGCTAGGCTGGGGCCGGGGGTTAGGGTGGCCTTGGGAGGTCTGAGAGACACTTAGAGATCTAATGGGTGATGATGTCCACTTTTACAGAGGTGTCTCCAGTTCCTGAATCACTTCCTGAGGGGAATAACCAGGTGTCTCCAAGCTCTCCATCCTCAGGGGCAGGGGGCTCTGACCTGCGTTTCCACCAGCTGCACGGCAGTAACGCAGTCATCACCAATGGGGGCCGCACTGCCCTCCGCCACAACTGTCGCAGCGAGTTTAATGACGCCATCGTCATCTCCAACCGGTCAGTCTCTCAACTTTCATGTCCCCACCTTCCTCCTGCCCAGCCTCAGCCACCCAAGTGGAGCCTCTCTGATCACCAGTCTCCCTGGCAGGGCCCTGCGGGATGGAGAGCTGTTTGAAATTGTCATTCAGAAGATGGTGGACCGCTGGTCAGGCTCCATTGAGGCTGGTGAGGGGCGTCTGTGTGTGTTGGGGGCCGTTGGATGTCTGTGCCTTGGGGGATCGGCCTTGACTTACCTCTGCCTCCTACCAGGAGTGACTGCTATTCGGCCTGAAGACTTGGAATTCCCTAACACCATGACAGACATTGACTATGACACATGGATGCTGAGGTTGGGCTTCCTGCTTTGGGGGCCAGCTTGGGGCTGAGTGGAGCTGGCTGGCATCAGGGAAGCAAGGTTTCGGCCTATGGTGGCTGTGGGCAGTGACAGACCTAGGGGATCTGCCTGTCCCCTCTCTTGGATTCTGGGAAGCCCTGCTCAGGCCCACAGGGGCTCAGTCCTCCTTCATCTTAGGTAGTTCTTGCTTTTCCCTGAGGGGATCCCAGGGACAAACGAGATAGGACTGGGCCTTACACCCAGATCAAGACCCCAGCCCAAGGCATTGGAAGGTTCTGACAGGCAGGGAGTGGGCGGGGGCCAATGTGAAGTTGAAGCTGGCAGGCTGACTCACCCCTTCTGCCATCCCCCCAGTGGTACAGCCATCATGCAAGATGGTAACACGATGCGCAACAATTACGGGTGTGACCTGGATGCGCTGGGCACAGGTGCACGCATTGGCATGATGCGAACTGCCAAGGGCGATCTGCACTACTTCATCAACGGCCAGGACCAAGGCGCTGCCTGCTCGGGCCTGCCTCCGGGTAAAGGTGACTATGTGGCTTTCAGCCTGCCACCCTCAGCCCAGACCACCTGGCTGTCAGGCTTCTGACCTTCCCTCTCCTCCCCAGAGGTGTATGCAGTAGTCGATCTCTATGGCCAGTGTGTCCAAGTGTCCATCACCAATGCCACCGGCCCCATGGACAACAGCCTGGCAACCAGCAACACTGCCACCGAGAAGTCCTTCCCACTGCACTCCCCAGGTGCGGCAGCCGGGCGGGGGCTGGATGGGCTCTGCTTGCCTGCTGTGCGCCTGAGGAGTAGGGCTTCCAGGTTACAGCAGCTGTGCAAAGACGGTTGGCTGGGGTAGCTGCCGGCTCAAGGGAAGGGACAGCCCACGGTGGCAAGCAGCCAGTAAGGGGGAGGTTACACCTGGTACTTAGAGCCTGGACACTTCCCTGCCACCAAGGGGCCAGGACACCATCAACTGAGCATGCCAGGTTTGGAAATGAGTCTTGCTGTGGTGAAAAGAGGTATCAGGGCTGGGCGCAGTAGCTGATGCCTGTAATCCCAGCACTTTGGGAGGTCAAGGCGGGTGGATCGCTCCAGCACAAGAGTTTGAAACCAGCCTGGGAAACACGGCGAAACCCCGTCTGTACCAAAAATACAAAATTTAGGCAGTTGTGGTGGCGTGCACCTGTGGTCCCAGCTACTTGGGAGGCTGAGGTGGGAGGATCGCTGAATCCCAGGAAGTTGAGGCTGCACTGAGCCGTGATTGTGCCACTGCACTCCAGCCTGAGTGACAGAGCGAGACCGTGCCTCAAAAAAAAAAAAAAAAAAAATACAATAAAGAGGTGTCAGGAGGCCCTGAGGAGTAATGGCAGATGGCAGATGGGGCGTTGGTGTCCCCATCTCGTTTCATCTGAAAGCTTTGCTCTGTTCCATCTGAAGCTTGCTGCCCCAGTCCTACCCCTTCCTCTGGTGCCATCTTTTCACAGTGGCTGGTGTGGCTCACCGATTCCACAGTACTTGCGGCAAGAATGTCACTCTAGAGGAGGATGGCACGAGGGCGGTGCGTGCCGCTGGCTATGCTCATGGTCTTGTCTTCAGTACCAAGGAGCTGAGGGCTGAGGAAGTCTTTGAGGTAGGCCGTAGCGATGTGACAGAGGGGCTGCCAGGCCCATCGCCACAGGGCCAGCTCATCTTGTCTCTGTCTCATAGGTGAAAGTGGAAGAGCTAGATGAGAAGTGGGCAGGTTCCCTGCGGCTGGGACTGACCACACTAGCCCCGGGGGAGATGGGACCCGGAGCAGGTGGCAGTGGCCCAGGGCTGCCTCCTTCCCTGCCAGAGCTCCGGACGAAGACCACTTGGATGGTATCCAGCTGTGAAGTGAGGCGTGATGGGCAGCTCCAGAGGATGAACTATGGCCGGAACCTAGAGAGGCTGGGGGTGAAGTGGCTGGCTCCAGGGACAGGGGAGGGGTTGGGAGTGGCGGTGGCAGGGAGGGGTGGGCTGAGCATCATCTGTCCTTGTCCTGCCTTGGTCCTAGGTGGGGAGCCGTGTGGGTGTTCGTCGGGGGGCAGATGACACGATGCACATCCTGGTGGATGGAGAGGATATGGGGCCTGCAGCCACTGGCATTGCCAAGGTAGACCTGAATGCTTCCTTGGGTTTTGGGAGGATGGTTGAGGTCTTCCGCTGATCTCTGATTTTTCTGGGTCTTGTGTGCCTCCCAGAACGTGTGGGCTGTGTTGGATCTCTACGGGCCAGTCCGCAGTGTGTCGATTGTCAGTTCCACAAGGCTGGAGGAGTCAGAAGGCACCCAGCCTCCTTCCCCCAGTTCAGACACCGGCAGTGAGGGCGAGGAGGATGACGAGGGCGAGGAGCATGGCCTGGGAGTAAGAGGCTGCAGCATGGCCTGCTGTGCACGTGGATGGGCAGTTGCTGGGCCGTTGGATGCCAGGCCTTTTTTGGGTTCTCTGATCGTTGGGTGGAGGCTCACACTCAGGGTCTGTGCAAACTCCATTGGGGTGGGTCGGTCCTGGCATTGGCAACCCATGCAGCTTAGTCTCTTCCTCCACACCAGGGCCAGAATGAAGTGGGTATTATACCCACCACCCTCGAGTTCCTGGAGAACCATGGGAAGAATATCCTCTTGTCTAATGGGAACCGTACAGCCACACGGGTGGCCAGCTACAATCAGGGCATCGTTGTCATCAACCAGCCTCTGGTGCCCCAGCTGCTGGTCCAGGTGGGCTCTCCCTCCCTGTCCCCAGCTCCTCTCGCTCCACAGTGACCCATGGCCAACCCTCCTGAAGAAAGGCCTTTTTGGGTGGAGAAAAAGAAAGCAAGCCACTTGGATGAGCTTTCTGGGCTTTTATTCATAGCCTGTAATGGGGTTTGTCAGTCAGTTACCACGAAGTCCCTACCTGGTGATCGGTGAGGGAAGCAGTAGGGACAGGCTGGAGGAGTCCAAGGGAAATGCCTGATAGTATATGTGGGAGCAGAGAGGGCTTTCCAGAAGAAGGTGCCTTTTTGCTACAAACTGAAAGATATATCAAAGTTAGCCAGATGAGCCCAGGTACAGTGGCTCATACCTGTAATCCCAGAACTTTTGGAGGCCAAGCAGGCGGATCGCTTGAGTTCACGAGTTTGCGACCAGCCTGGGCAATATAGCGAAACTCTGTCTCTGCAAAAAAATACAAAAATTCGCCAGGCATGGTGGCACGAGCCTATAATCCCAGCTACTCAGGAGGCTGAGGTGGGAAGATCACTTGAACCTGGGAGGCAGAGGTTACAGTGAGCCGAGATCACGCCACCGCACTCTAGCCTGGGAGACAGGGCAAGATCTTGTCTCTAAAAAAAAAGAAAAAAAAAAAAAGCTAGCTAGATGAAGGAAGTCCTACGAATAAGAATCCTGACAGATCGTTACAGAGGCAACAGCAAGGTCACGGCTCAAACAGGGTTTGGTTTTGTTTTGTTTTTGAGATGGAGTTGTGCTCTTGTTGCCCAGGCTAGAATGCAGTGGCACGACCTCGTCTCACTGCAACCTCCACCTTCCGGGTTCAAGCGATTCTCCTGCCTCAGCCTCCCGAGTAGCTGCGATTACAGGCATGTGCCACGACACCTGGCTAATTTTGTATTTTTAGTAGAGACAGGGTTTCGCCATGTTGCTCAGGCTGGTCTCAAACTCCTGACCTCAGGTGATCCACCCGCCTCAGCCTCCCAAAGTGCTGGGATTACAGGTGTGGGCCACCATGCCGGCTGATGGTTCTTTTTTTTATTATTATTAAAAAAAAAAAAAGGGAAAGAAACAACTAAATTTGCATTTTCTGGTCCTTCCATGCATGAGAAAAGGCAGCATCCCAGGCCACATTCTGGGAGGTGCAGTATTCCCTCCCTGGCGGGGGGGTGGGGGGGGGTGGGTAGCGAGCCTGGTTCTTCCCAGGAGGCTGTGATTATGGAGTAGTTCCTTCTTCCCCAGGTGCGGATAGATTTCCTAAACCGACAGTGGACATCTTCCCTTGTCCTGGGAGTCATCACCTGCGCGCCTGAGAGGCTCAACTTCCCTGCTTCTGCCTGTGCCCTCAAACGGGCAGCCTGGCTGCTGCGGGGCCGCGGGGTCTTCCACAACGGTCTCAAGGTGAGTAGGAGCCATAGAGAAGGGGCGGGACCAGGCTTGTGTGTAGGGAAGGGCTGGCCAGAAGGGAGAAGTGGGCCCCTAGCCTTGGAGGTAGGACCACAGGTGTAAAAGGGGGACAGTAATGGGCAGGCAAGGGTGAGTGGCGTTGCCTGGTCAGTTTTAGGCCTGCTGCTTCCTGCGGTGTCCCTGCCGTTGAGAATGTGCCAGTTTTGGGGAAGAGGAGGGGCTCTAGGTAACTGCAGCGGGAGGAGAGTCTCGGCAGCAGGCAAGCGTGGAGGCAAAGCCAAGGCGCTGGCAGCAGGAAGCAGAGCAAAGGGCAGGACGGCTGCTGTGGTGGAGTGTGACCTCTGGAAGACAGCCGGTCTCCCCTCCCAGATCTGTGAGAAGTTTGGGCCGAATCTGGACACGTGCCCTGAAGGCACCATCCTGGGACTGCGGCTGGACAGCTCTGGGGGACTGCATCTCCACGTTAATGGGGTGGACCAGGGGGTAGCTGTACCAGATGTGCCCCAGCCCTGCCACGCGCTTGTGGACCTCTATGGGCAGTGTGAGCAGGTTAGTGGCAGTGGGGGCAGGGAGGAGGGGTGCCTAAGAGTCTGGGCCGTCCAGGACGGGGAAGTCTCTGTTCCAGAATCATCAGGCCCTGGGGTCTGACCAAGCTGTCTGACTACCCTCTCCCCTGCAGGTGACAATCGTGAACCCTGAGCCAGGGGCTGCCAGTGGGAAAAGTGCTGGAACCCAAGGGGACATGGAGAAAGCAGACATGGTGGACGGTGTGCCAGCCCAAAGGGACCCCGCTCCTGCCCCTACTCCCCTGCCCCTACCCTTCTAGCCTAACTCCTGTGACCTGTGCCCCTCTGCTCCCTCAGGTATCAAAGAGAGTGTGTGCTGGGGCCCACCACCCGCCGCTAGTCCTCTAAAGAGCTGCGAGTACCATGCCCTTTGCTCTCGCTTCCGAGAACTCCTGCTGCTTCCTGGTGAGTCCCGGTCCCCAGAACCGACTTCATCCCCAGGGCCAGGCCCAGAGCCGTGGAGAGCAGCTGAAGGGTGCCAGTGTGGCTGAGATCAAGGGTGGGAGCCACAGCACCAAGCCTGCTACTTACTGTCCCGCAGAAGATTATTTCATGCCTCCGCCAAAGCGAAGCCTGTGCTACTGTGAGTCTTGCCGGAAGCTGCGAGGAGACGAGGCCCACAGGCGCAGAGGGGAGCCTCCCCGGGAATACGCACTGCCCTTTGGCTGGTGCAGGTTCAACCTCAGGTACATACGGGCAGGGTCATGCCTTTCCCCTACTGTTTTCCCCCTGGAGAAATGGAGATCCCAAGAAGGTGCATGGAAGAAGTGATAGAACTTCCTGCCTAAGGAAGAGCCTCGTGAAGCTCCTCCACTGGGGAGCCAGTGTCCTTCGTTCTATCTGCCCTGCTTGTCCACCTCGTAGAGTGAATCCCCGCCTGGAGGCTGGGACACTAACCAAGAAGTGGCACATGGCCTATCATGGGAGCAATGTTGCAGCTGTACGGAGAGTGCTGGACCGAGGGGAGCTGGGAGCAGGTACTGGGGAGCAGGCCCATGCAAGGTGGGCTGAGCCTGGGGGGCTGTGGAGGAATAAAAAGGGCTATCTTGACCCAGTTCTCCTCCCAGGTACTGCTTCCATCCTGAGCTGCCGTCCTTTGAAGGGAGAGCCTGGGGTAGGGTTCGAGGAGCCTGGCGAGAACTGTGCACCTCCTCGGGAGGAGCAGCCCCCTCCTGTGCTGCTTTCCCCCTCCCTTCAATATGCTGGGGCCGAGACCCTGGCCTCCAAAGTGCAGTGAGTACTGGGAGGGGTGGGGAGAGATCTCCAGGGGCTCGGATGAAGAGGGCCTGAGCGCAGCCACTGGGGTCTTCATGATTTGCCCTCCCCTTTTCTCACCTCCTCTTGCTAGCTGCCAGTCTCCAACTCAGCCCTTTTTTCATTCATTGAACAAATACCACTTAAATACTCTTCTAGTGGGCAAGAAAAGGAACCTTGCTCTTGTGGAACCTCTGCCTTTTCTCTCTATAATGTTCATACATAATAAGTATTTATTATTTATTTATTTTTGAGACGGAGTCCTGCTCTGTCATCCAGGCTGGAGTGCAGTGGCATGATCTCGGCTCATTGCAACCTCCACCTCCCGGGTTCAAGCGATTCTCCTGCCTCAGCCTCCTGAGTAGCTGGGACTACAGGCGTGTGCCACCAAGCCCGGCTAATTTTTCTAGTAGAGATAGGGTTTTGCCATGTTGGCCAGGCTGGTCTCGATCTCCTGACCTCGTGAGCCACCCGCCTCGGCCTCCCAAAGCGCTGGGATTACAGGCGTGAGCCACCGTGCCTGGCCAGTATTTAGTATTTTTAAAGGTAATAAGTAAGGACTATGGAAACAAAGAGTGGGGCGAAGGAGACAGCAGTGTGGCTGGTGTGGGCATCGTAAGAAAGAGTGGGGCGAAGGAGACAGCAGTGTGGCTGGTGTGGGCATCGTAAGAAAGAGTGGGGCGAAGGAGACAGCAGTGTGGCTGGTGTGGGCATCGTAGGAAAGAGTGGGGCGAAGGAGACAGCAGTGTGGCTGGTGTGGGCATCGTAGGAAAGAGTGGGGCGAAGGAGACAGCAGTGTGGTTGGTGTGGGCATCGTAGGAAAGAGGGGGGCGAAGGAGACAGCAGTGTGGCTGGTGTGGGCATCGTAAGAAGGTGGGAGAGATTCGAGCAAAGGCTTGAAGAAGGAAGTGAAGGGTGTAGCTGAGCAGGCTTTGGGAGGAAGAACATTTCAGGTAGAAAGAACAGCTAGAGTGAAGCTCCTATAAGGCGGGAGTATTTCCTAGGTACAGCAAGGCTTGTGTGGTTGGAACAGACTTTGCAAGGGGGAGGTGATGGGGAGAGAAGCTTCACTCCCTTATTTTTTCCTGTTTGACAGATTCCGGGACCCCAAATCCCAGCGGACGCACCAGGCTCAGGTGGCGTTCCAGGTGTGTGTGCGCCCTGGCTCCTACACCCCGGGACCCCCTTCCGCTGCCCTTGGAGAACCTCCTGACCCTCACTTCAGTCCAGCCGAACTTGAGTGGGTCACTAAGGAGAAGGGGGCCACACTCCTCTATGCCCTGCTGGTACGGGTGGAATGAGGGGTGACACACAAATACTACAAGCACAGTCGGGCCTCGGGCCCATGGACTCTGGCGACTGCCTCCACCTCATTCCCGTGACTCGTGGCATGCGCAGGTGCTGGAGCTTGGCAGCCGCGCAGGAGCATGTAGGCAGGCTCTCAGATGTAGGTGGCAAGTGGCACAGCTCCATGTCTGGAGGCCCAGCACTCCGTCTGATGGGAGGAGCCGTGGGAGCCCAGCTCCAGGCCCTGGTACCCCTCTTCATGCACTGATTTGGGGAACATGACTCCCTTTTACTCCCCTTCCCCACATCACTTAATTTATTTCCGTTTTTGTTTCTGGTTACTGTGAATCCCAGAGGAGTCTCTCCCTGTGCCCACATGAAGCTGCTTTTTCCGGGGCCACCGGGCAGGAGTGGGGAAGGGTGGGCGCACGGAAGATGGGGGCCTCTGTACAGTTGTTACTGACTCTGATTTCTAAGGAGCCAATAAACACCGTCTCAGAGCCTCCGCCTCGGCCTCTCTCTCGCGCGCCCCTCCCCGGAGCCCGCGTCCCCTGGGGTGCCACCAGGTGGGCCCGCGAAATTAAAGAGAGCTGAGGATGCCAAGACCAGTTTACAGCCCTCGTCGCCCGCGTTCCCGGCTACGGGGTTTGGACGCCGCGGGCACCCGTCGCAGCGCGCTTCCGCTTTCTTTCACCCAACCCGTGAGGTCGGCCGCAGCCGTGACTCCGGAAGGACTTGGCCGGGCCGCCGGATGTGACGTACGGGCCAGGGCGCGCCGGAGCTGCTGAGAAAGCGCAGAGAAGGCGGGTAGGGAGGGCTGGCGTCCGGGCTGGCTGGGCAGGGAGCGGCAGCACCGAGTCGGGGATCCCGGCGCCGCCCGTGCGCGCGGTGGAGCGGGGGCTGCGGGCCCGGCCGGGTGGCGGGCTCCTGGGACACGTGACCGGGGCGGCTAGCGGGTCGGGCGGACGGGCTTCCGCCTGGGCCGGGCGCGGTCCCCTCTGAGCGCCCGCCTCCCCGCAGGCGCCGTCTGAGGTCTGGCAGTCAGAGACAGAGCCGGGCGCCCACGGCCCGAGCGCCCACGGCAGCACCATGCCCGCACTCCTGGAGCGCCCCAAGCTTTCCAACGCCATGGCCAGGGCGCTGCACCGGCACATTATGATGGAGCGGGAGCGCAAGCGGCAGGGTGAGCCGGGGCCATAGCGGGGGGACACACGGCCCAGAATGGCTCCTGTACCTCAGGGTTGGCCTCAACCCAGCGGCCAACCAGTGAGCCCGCTGCCGAGCGCAGAGGAGGGAAGGAATAGCCCCGTTGTGGTGGGATTTAAGCGTCCTGGTCCACGCTCCAGAACCCTTGAGACGGGAAGGACCTTGGAGAGCACCTGATAGAGCCTCTCCGTTCCCTATTGCAGCGATGGGGGAGCTTGTCCCCTCGAGGCAAAGAGCGCACAGGCGTGTTGGGATGACTGGGTTTTGCTGGTCTTCAATCTAACGTTGGAACTGTTTTCACTACCCTGCCTCTTCTTCATTCTGCCTGATTCTCCAGAGGAAGAAGAGGTGGATAAGATGATGGAACAGAAGATGAAGGAAGAACAGGAGAGAAGGAAGAAAAAGGAGATGGAAGAGAGAATGTCACTAGAGGAGACCAAGGAACAAGTAAGCAGTCCCTTGAACTCTCCCAGCTTTGATTTCTTCCCTTGACTCTCCCTGCCTTCATCTTCTCTTCCCACTCCCTCCCAGATTCTGAAGTTGGAGGAGAAGCTTTTGGCCCTACAGGAAGAGAAGCATCAGCTTTTCCTGCAGCTCAAGAAAGTTTTACATGAGGAAGAAAAACGGAGGCGAAAGGAACAGAGGTGGGATCAGAGTGCTAAAAACTGAAATGGGGGCCAAGTGGAACTGGGATCAAGTAATAAAAGAACTAGTGTTTAATGGCGAAAGAGAAGGCATCTGTCCTTAGCTTTGACCTGCCTTCCTCTCACTCCAGTGACCTGACCACCCTGACATCAGCTGCATACCAGCAGAGCCTGACTGTCCACACAGGAACTCATCTCCTCAGCATGCAGGGTGAGGACTAAAGAGACCACCTGATGGAACCGGCCTTCTTACAGGTTGCAGCCTCCCATTTCAGCATCATGAAGCCCTTCTCCCTTTCTAGGGAGCCCTGGAGGACACAATCGCCCAGGCACCCTCATGGCAGCTGACAGAGCCAAACAAATGTTTGGACCCCAAGTGCTTACGGTGAGAGTAGGATTGGATGCCCAGCCCCTACTGCTTCCATCCATGCATCCTTGCCACCAGTATTCAAGTCACAAACATATCAAGCACTTAAGTTTAGGGGGAAATGGGGCATACAGATATACACAAGTCACTGGGTTTCAGCTTTCAAGTTTATAGGCGAATTCTCATTCTCCCTCCTTAGACCCGGCACTATGTGGGCTCAGCAGCTGCTTTTGCGGGGACACCAGAGCATGGACAATTCCAAGGCAGTCCTGGTGGTGCCTATGGGACTGCTCAGCCCCCACCTCACTATGGGCCCACACAGCCAGCTTATAGTCCTAGTCAGCAGCTCAGAGGTGAGTAATAGGAGGGATGGGGCTTGGCCTTCCTCAACGTCAAAGGAGGAATGCCATTGAGTAAAAGGTTTTAATGGCTCTGTCTTTTCCTTTCTCAGCTCCTTCAGCATTCCCTACAGTGCAGTACCTATCTCAGCCACAGCCACAGCCCTATGCCGTGCACGGCCACTTTCAGCCCACTCAGACAGGTGATAACATCCCATGCAGGAGCTCTAGCTCTCTGGGTCCTCCCCTCCCTGTTTCATTCTCATCTCACATGCCCCTCTTCCCCACATAGGTTTCCTCCAGCCTGGTGGTGCCCTGTCCTTGCAAAAGCAGATGGAACATGCTAACCAGCAGACTGGCTTCTCCGACTCAGTGAGTATGGCACCTTGGGAGGTCAGGGTTAGGGATATGTTAAGGGGAGCTTCAGTATGCCTCAGGCCCTGACTCTGTTCTCTGCAGTCCTCTCTGCGCCCCATGCACCCCCAGGCTCTGCATCCAGCCCCTGGACTCCTTGCTTCCCCACAGCTCCCCGTGCAGATGCAACCAGCAGGAAAGGTAAGAATGATAATAAAGTTTACCTGTCAGAATCCTTACACTAGGGATCCAGAAAAGCAGGATTAGGTAGGACCGGTGGCCCACATCACCTGGTTTTTCTTCCTCTCTGGGGGTGGTTACCAGTAGGGCATTAAGTGGGAGAGTACGCCCAGTGACAAAGCCCTCTTTTCATCACCACCGCCAGTCGGGCTTTGCAGCTACCAGCCAACCTGGCCCTCGGCTCCCCTTCATCCAACACAGCCAGAACCCGCGATTCTACCACAAGTGACGATCAGATTATATCTTCAACATCATGCCCCCTGCCCCACTGTGGGTGAGGATACCCCCCGTGTGTCCCAGGCCAATAAAATCTACCTGCCACTGACCCTGGCTGCTGCTGTTTGTGTTGCCTCCCACCCAACTGTCTGGAATAGGTCAAGGCTGCTTGGGGGGTGGGGGGATGACTGGCAGGTCCACAGCAAGTCAGTGATAGACAGCGGGTTCCATGAACTCAGTGGCAGAGTTCAGTCTTTTTGTAGCTTCCAAATATACCCATTTAATTCAAATAAGCAGCTGAGTTGGGGGCTTCATATTAAACTTGTAGTTTTATTCAGGTTTGATTTTAACAAATGTGTCGGGGAGAGAGCCCGCAGGGAAGGGTAAAGCCCACGGGGGCAGGGCCCTCCCAGATGCCTGAGGAGGGGGCAGGTCCCCTCCCCTCTCCTCCTCTTCCCTCCCCATCTAAAGGGGTTTGGGGAGAGACACAGGCAGGGGAGGGGGCTGGTCCCCAGTCTGTTGGGGTGGTGCTCAGGGTAAAGGGCTATGGGCAACAGGGGACCAGACCAGGGCTGAGTGGGGAGGGCACAAGGACCATTTGCCAGAATCCACCACTTTGATTCCAGATTGAATTAAAAAAAAAAAAAAAAAAAAAAAAAAAAAAAAGACTAAACCACAAGCAGCACCCACCCCCTTCTCCCCCACCAGGGCTGTAGTGTGAGGGGAGAAGAGGAGGGCAGCTTCACCAAGGCCACGGCTTCGCTTGCTCCTGGCCAAGGGAGCTAGGTGAAGGGGAGGGGCTCCCCGACAGATTGAAGGGGTGGGGAAAACCAAAATAAAACGTCAAATAAATTTGTGTAGGAGGAGTCCAGCCTACAACCAGGCCAGAGCCGGGCCAGGCTGGGGGAGGGGGCCTCTGCAGGTTCAGAGGATCACTGCTGCCACCATCGCCACCCTAGGTAGGAGAGAGAAATTAGTAAGATAGGATAATACCTTCAACGGGAAGGATAGGGAGGACAGGGCCAGGCTAGGGGCACAAAGTAAGCCTGGAACAATTAAGACTAGAGCAGATCTGCTGAGGACAACAAAATGTGAAGGGGACAGTGAGGGATTTGTCACACTCACCTGGGAGCCAGTTATTTTGCCATGGCCTTGATTGCAACAGCTGCCTCCTCTGTCATGGCAGACAGCACCGTGATCTGGAGGAGCAAGAGAGAGAGCCAGGAGATGTCTGAGCTCAGGAAGAAACGTACAGAACAAAGCTGAGCACAAAAGCAGGGAGGGGGCCGGGCGTGGTGGCTCACGCCTGTAATCCCAGCACTTTGGGAGGCCAAGGTGGACAGATCACGAGGTCAGAAAATCAAGACCATCCTGGCTAACATGGTGAAACCCTGTCTCTACTAAAAATACAAAAAATTAGCCGGGTGTGGTGGCGGGCTCCTGTAGTCCCAGCTACTCAGAAGGCTGAGGCAGGAGAACGGCGAGAACCCGGGAGGCAGAGCTTGCAGTGAGTCGAGATCGCGCCACTGCACTCTAGCCTGGGCAACAGAACAAGACTCCATCTCCAAAAAAAAAAAAGAAAAGAAAAAACAGGGAGGCACCATACCAGGATCTCTTCTCCACAGTCGTACTTCTGCTCAATCTCCTTGCCAAGGTCTCCCTCAGGGAGACGAAGGTCCTCTCGTACCTCCCCACTGTCCTGGAGCAGTGATAGGTACCCATCCTGGATGCCAATCAGCTGGGGGCAGATAGGGAAGGAAGCTGAAGGTAGTAGGCCCAGGGAGGCTGAGAGTAAAGGCTCTGATAGACAAACTGGAGTGATAGCAAACTAATACCAAATACCCTCTCCTGCCATTTCCTTCCTCTCCCAGCACAAGCTCTCCTGGTCAGTCCCTATCCCCCAACTTCTCCCTCCACCATGAACGGCTAACCCATCCTCATCCAAACCATCTACATACCTGGAAGTCATTCCTTTTGATGTTGGGGACATCCATGTTATGAGTTGACGGGCAGATATCTTCATATTTTTTCCCAGTGAAGATGTCAATGCCAACCAGGTGGACCTGTATGTAAGCATCACAAAGAGAAACCCAACCAAACTCTTAAGACGGAGGAAACAAAGGCGCCAAGTGACCTTGCC